AATAAGATATTTACTTAATATGTATTTGTATTTCCTAAAAATTAACCGAGGAATTAACTATTACTTGTCTTGTTAAAAATATTTTAGTAACTACTAATTGAAATGCTGTGTAAACAGATTTCTCGTACAGTTAATTAATAGTTAATTAGCAATGAGTAAATAAGATTATTTAAATAAATTAAAATATGTATTTGTGCTTAAAATCTCAGTGGTGTATTCAGATTTTTTTAAATATTGGTTTCTCTAATCTTGAAGAGGTCACCTACTATGCAAAAAAACGTTATTTAGTTACGACTTTAGTTATTTGTTAAAATTATTATCAATTGCTGATATAAATTTATTTAGATATTTATTTTTTTGTCAACAGTGTATTGACAAACTTTTTTTTAATAACCATTACCATTACTATTCTTATAGGGAAATTAAAATTTGACTGCATCCATTGACAATTTATTGACTTATTTTTTTGTTTTTTAAATATTGAAATCATTTTAATTATTTCGTATTGCATTATAAAAATGATCTATTTAACACATGACCCGATGGTAAACTATCTAACAGTAAAACTTTACCGTTGATATAAATCAGTTTATTATCTGTATCTACCTATTAACTTTATTTTTATCGTAGCAGTTCATTATAAAGCAATTCATTAATGCTTACAATTTAAACAAATTACATCACTTTTTAACCAAATTAGACACTTAATATTCAATCAAATTTTTGCATTACAATGACAAAAACTGAAAGTGAGTTTTCGTAATTCCCTTATCTGATGTTCGTTTACTATCAAAATTGTTAATTGGCTCTTGATGTTAATTAACTCCAAACAATACATCACACTGTGCTGTATGGTATCAGTCTACTTTCTCTAATTTTCAAATAATTAATGTAATAGTTCGTAATCCGAACCGATTCTCATGAACAGACTTGCACTCTTTTTGTGGAAAAATATAATCGTGTGAGAAGCCAAGAATTTTAGCTTTCGCTTACGCTTTATTGTTTAATTGTTAGTTTATGATCGACAATTATCAATGCGTAATTTTTTAATCATGATTTCGAGGAAAATCACTCACGGGGAAAACTTTTACTCGGAATATCAACAGGTGTGCATGAAATTTGAGTGAAAAGTAACCGGAGGCGCGATATCGGCTTCTATTAGCCCGAGAGAAGATTTTTTCATGGGTGTTTGGGTGTGGCGAGTAGCGAAATTTATTATTTCAGAGAAAGATTCAGGCTTTCCAATTCCAATTAGTTGTAGACAATTTTTTTCAAAGCTATTTTTACTTAATTTATTAAATGTTTAGTTGGAGAAAAAATGTCGCATGTTACACACGACATATAATTTCTCTTCTCATTAATTTGCAAATAAAACTACAACGCATTAAATTAATTGCGAGACAAAAAAATCTAATACTCTTCCTGAAAATTTAACAATTAAAAAAATGCAGAATATTTAGGTACTATTAATTATTTTTTGCAAAATTTTGAGAATCTTAAACGTAAAAAAATTGCATGTGCAATTTTATTTTGAATTGAGAGTATTTTTTGTTTCTGTTCCTTACCTGTCCCACTATTAGAAATCCAATGAATTGCCGAATAATCAAAGACCAGAATGTTCAATCGAGCGCAACCACCAAAACAACAAGTCCCTAAACACTTTCAATCTTCAAGAACCGGTGCGCGACTTAGCGATCGCGATCATCCGAAAACTGTGAACGATATCAGTGTTCAAATCGCGCCTACCACTCTAGAAGAAGCCGAAGAAGAAGATTGCGCCTCCTCGGGACGAGAAAGCCTTTCTTCCGCCACACGCCGGAGAGTGGAGATCTTGCCGGCCGTGCCAATGACATTGGAAAATGTGGGTCAGCCAAGTGGGGCGAGAGAGACCATAATTGATACGTTGATTAAAAATTTACTTATTCTTTATTTAACAATTAGTTTCTTTTATGCGGCTTGAGCAATTGTGTCTTCGCTTAATCACAACAAAGAAGGAGCAAGTGTTGGCCACTAAGGCAGACATTGGAAATTTTCACAGTCCACAGATAGATATACAAAATGCAAATTAATAATAAAAAATTTTCAATTTTTGTCGATTTTAATTTCGATTGGAATTTTCAGAAATGCAAAAAAGTCGATAGTCGATAATACAAAGGGATGTTATAGTTTCATAAATCTAAAGATTTTAAAGTTGAAGTTTCCAAAATCTTTCTACAAGTGGGGTAAATTATAAAAACTGTTTTTGCCAATGTGTAGGCAGGAAAATACGAAAGTAAATTCATTTTGTTTGTTCAAAAACAACGTAGCAACTAAGTATATTTTATGAGTTAGATTTTTTTTCTCCAACATCTCGCATTTAGGTTTCAAAGTTGTTTTAATAATTTTTAGAATTAGAAGTTAATACAGGAAATAAATATTTGTGAGAAGAAAATTAAAAAAAGCTGCGTTCAGAGGGATTCTGCTGTCATCCTCAAACAATAGTTCATTAAGAATAACCATGTAATAATTTATTATTTACTTGACATTTTGTTTTTCATCACATGTCACTTAATGTTGGTAATAAAATTCATCAAACATAAACTTTGCAATAATAAAGACCATTTTAAGGTCGCTAATCATTTATTTCACGAGTCTAAATTTCATAAGATTTTAATTTGAAAAATCGTTTTTTTTTCACGACCTATTAAGGTTTTATAGTTTAATTTTTTTTCAGTTGCGGACACAGAATTTTGGACATCAAATTTATAAAGTCATTATGATTGATGACGTTTGAAACTAAAATTTGAAAGTTTTAGTTGAAATTTATTTTTGGCGTGGATTTCGCGAAATTGTAATGCCAGCAATACGTGTTTTTATTTTGATTTGCTGTCATTTTTTCGGTAACTATTAGAATAAAAATTACAAAAATCGAAAATGAGGTTAGTTGCACATAAGGCCTGTTTTTCATTTTTACGTAAATCGAATGACAAATCGTCCAAATTTGCGTGTTCACAATTGTAGGACCTCTATGAGTTCTCAATGATAAAATATTATTTAATATTTATATTTGTATAATTCTTTCAGTTTTAATTTAAATATTGAAATATTTATGTGAAAATTCTTTATCGTATTACATTGACCACATTTTAATAATTCTCTTTGCCCGACGGGGAGTTGAGATCAACTTTTTATATGACAAAACTGTGACAGTAGTCAAAGTTCTCTCCCGAGGGAGACAAATAAGCATAACGACGGGAGCAAATATTTGTTCCCATTCCCACTCATTGTCAACAGACATTTTTATTTTATCATGGTGAAAGAATGTTAGCTTTATGATAAATTTTGTATTTTGTTAAAGAATTACAGCCAATTTCTTAGGTTTTTCAACTCGAGTAGTGCAAAAAATAGTATATATGTACACCACTTATTGTTTCTTTGGTGCTTTGTAGCTCTCGGGATTCGCTCTCTGGCTATAAGCGGTAACTGAGAAATAATAATGCATTTTTCTCCTTTTATATACAGGGTGTTTCACGTAATTTTACAAGGCCTGCGCCTGTAAGATGCAATCAATAATACATATTCCGATACGAACTCGATTATAAATTTTGAAAAATTGAATAATCTTCTCTAATTTGTTAACCCTTTAAAAAATTACAACGTTTTTAGTTAGTTAGTGATTAAGATAGGTAAACTAGAATCATATTCATGCCGTCTCTTGATAGAACAAATGATAATTGTTTCTGAAAAACTGCAGTTTATGACTACTAATGAAACAGTGATTAGTTTGACAACTACTGTCATGCGTTTCCAAAAAAAAAATAAATAAATGTGTGTTTTTTGTATACAGTGTTCTGTGACTTTTGTATATTTGGGTGCGTACATTAGGCGCAAACCTCGTAAAGTTATGTGAAACAGCCTGTATAATATACTATGCATCAATAGAATAAACAACTATTTTAATTCCGAGAATGTAGGTTATTTTAAGAGTAAAAATCGGAATTATATTTATTTTTTATTATACCAGCATCATAATCCTAAATTAAAACACGCTGCAGCGTGCGTAATTTGGCCTTTGTAGCACGCTGAAATTTTAAAGTTGTCTAGGAAACAAGAAATAGTGAAATGTCTGGACCAATTACAACGTGAAAAAATGTGTTTAACAACGTAAACTAGTAACCGTCTCTACGAAAACGATTCACAAACAACCTTTGATAATTTTATTGTGTAAATTCATATTTTTTCATAAAAGATCGTAATTGGGCAGGTATAATAAAAAATAGCGTATAACACTCGTTTATAAGCGCCTTTAAAACACTTACGACGTTTAAAACACTCCGCTGACGCGACGTGCTCTTAAACCCGTCGTGCGTGTTTTAAAGGCTTGCTTATAAACTAGTATTATAATATACTATTATTCTCTAGAGGGAATAAAGTACCAGATGATTAGTCAAAAAAGGGGAATAAAGCGTCACTTTTTTTCCTATTGAGAGGAAACAAATATTATTGTTGTAATAATTATAATAAAATTGCTAAAGATAAAGAGCAACAAGTTTTAGCTGTCTTAATATGTATAGTACCAGATTTTTTTATTACAGTACAAGTTGTGGTACTTACTTCAAAAACATGTCCATCAGATTTACAAAATTGTCGTTTTTTCTAAACAGGAACCAGTTAGACGTTTCTATAAAGTACTTCACAATTTCAGCTTCGCCTAAGGGAACATCAAGTGTATCACAACCACCGCGCCACCCCTTTGAGCCCACAAACCCCACACAACCTGTTTTCCTAGCGTACCGCGTATATTTCGCACTATTTTGAAGATTGCCATTCATGGTGCATTGATTGGTACCAAAATAAATAACCGATAATTTGTTGTTACTTGTTTTATGTATTCGATTATTGAGCAATTCGGCTTCAAATTATAGACTCTACCCAAGAATTAGTTACGAAAACATATTTCCGACTAATAACAGTCTTCGGAAGCTCCTCAAGGCTTTGGGAAAAACTTTTCAAAAACTCACCTTTTTTCATTTTCCTGCATTCGCAAATGAAACCGTGAACAGTTGTTATCAAAGGAGTCCTCAATTGAAGTCGACACTGTTTCAAGACTTTCATCTCCCACTTTCAGAAGCAAAAATTCGGGATAGAGACGATTGATTCTGGCACCGGTGGTGCTTTTAAATTTTGTTTTATTTGAGATGGTTTTGTTGTGCGTCACGTGCAATTTGAATAACTCTAACAAACACATTTTTATCGCAATTTCGAGTGTCAAAGACCGAATTGTGCTGTCACCGTCGACAGCATCTTCCGAGGACTGGTTCCTGTCATGATACAGTAACTGAAACCACTGTTGGCCCATTATTTACGCACGAAATGTTTACAAAAAAATACAGATAATTGTCATCGGAACAGTTGGAAAGTAAAAGAGGTCCAATGGAGAAAAGTTCTTTGAATTCGGGGGGAACAGTGCGGTTTGACACGGATTCAACGCTTTTTGATATTTTCCTTATTATTTGAACGTTATGTCATTGGTTTAAGTGAGAGCGGAATAAATAGAACAGTTTTTTCTCATTGCGAATCTTTGGTGACGTCTCAAGTTCCGGAATATTATTTTAGCTAATTATAGGTGAAATTTTAATTACACATATGGATGAAAGTGATTTTTTTTTTGGAAAATCTATTCTAAAACTGTACTTAACTCAAATGTGTGTCAAAGTAATCGAAAGGAAATTGGTTCTAAGATTTGCTCTTTTCATCTCAAATGCACTGTGGCAGATGGTAACTTTCTACACTCGACAGCCGTACAAATAAAGCATAAATTTATTTGAAATTGACGCTACTAAACCATCAAATTTTAATTATTATTTTTGTCTTTTGTATGAAACCTTAATTTTTTGCATTGTTTTGAAATTCGACTAAAACGTTCGATGCACTAACTAGAGGAATTTTAGTAGGTACACTAACAATGTTGGCCAACTGTGTAACAAAAATTGGTAAAAATTGTGTTAATGTTTTGTATGGGGAAAATGTGAAATTGTTTTACTTTTATTTCAAATGTCCTACAATACTTTTCTTTATTGTTGTATTATTATTATGGAGTTTTTGTTCCTTTCTTCTATTTTTAAACACTTATTATACTTAATTAAATTGGTAACAATGTTTTTCTACTAACTTTGTTCCTTTAGTTGTGTTAGGTACAATCAACAGAAAAGACTCATTTACCGCAAACTTTATTTACATCACAAAAAAATGCAAGCACGCCTAATACCGGGTGACTACTAATGTTTGTGATAAAAAATTCACTGGCAACACTGAATTGTTGGTAATCCTTCTAATTTGTTATATCACAATGTTTCAGGTGACGGCTAAATCAGCAATCGCTCGTCGCAGATGAATGACAATTGCCTATAAAAGTTTGACGTTTGAATTTGAACGTCAAGGTGACCATATTGAAATTTTAAATTTGATGTCAGCTTAGGGTAAAAAGTCAGAATCATTAATAGTCACCCGATCTATTTTTTTATAACTTTTATAACTAGGTGCAATTAAATTTTATCTTTGAGAGCAATTTAGCGTTGAGGCGTCAGCCGAGCCGCTAATATGCTCGAAAAGATAATGAAAATTTTATCGTCGTGTACAATATAAAATTTTATTCAATCCTCACTAATTTTGTAGTCAATTTGGTCGATATTTATAAATGTCAAAGTAAAATTCAACAATGAAATCTAATGTCAAAGATCGTTAACAATTAACAACCGCAGATATACAACAATGGATGTATTTTTTTATCATCTAGACGATAAAATTTCATTTTAACATGAAGAAAAGAGTAGATAAAATTCAGTTTTACCATAGAAGATTGAATAATAGTTATGTATTGAACTTATATCAAAAAATTCGTATTGCTGGCATAATTGTTTCGGAAAATCAAAAATAAATTTTAACAAAAACATGCAAATGAGTAAAATTTTTACATTATAATTAAATTTTGTAATTTCTAACTATGTTTAGTGCTTTTATTTATCACAGTTGGTAGCGCAAGTTTTTCGATTGGTTAAGCTTTCCCACCAGACAAACGTCAAATCAAACGTCAACAAAAAATCTGCTTGTAATCGTTACCTCAGTGTTTTTGTGTAAATTGTGAATTAAATACTCACAAAAACTTGCAAAAATGCCGGACCATTTGGGCGATGATATGCGAAAGGTGAAAACCGATAAAGAAGAGCCGGAAAAGGAAATAAAATGTACGTATTAATTTGCTTCTTTCTTGTTCTCATATCCATTTTGTTTACGATTCTGATCAATATTTTTAATTTTTAGCCCTCGATGAAGGTGATATTGCTCTTCTCAAGACCTACGTACGTAAATTAATCTGGAAGTGTCAAAAATAAAATGTGAGGTTATGTTATAGGGCCAGGGTCAATACACTAAAACAATAAAAACGGTGGAAGATGACATCCAGACGATTATTAAACGTGTTAATGAGCTTACTGGGATTAAGGAATCTGATACGGGATTGGCCCCACCGGCCCTTTGGGATTTGGCTGCTGATAAGCAAACTCTACAGAATGAGCAGCCCTTGCAGGTGGCCAGGTGCACGAAAATCATCAATGCCGACACTGACGATCCTAAATATATAATAAATGTGAAGCAGTTTGCCAAATTTGTTGTAGATCTGGCCGATTCTGTGGCCCCCACCGATATTGAGGAAGGAATGAGAGTGGGGTAAGATTTTTTTAAATTTTGTTTCAACTTTTACTTGATCTATTATATTTTTAGTGTTGACCGCAATAAATATCAAATTCACATCCCTTTGCCTCCAAAAATTGACCCCACTGTCACTATGATGCAAGTGGAGGAAAAACCTGATGTTACATACAGCGACGTCGGCGGTTGCAAAGAACAAATTGAAAAATTGCGAGAAGTTGTAGAAACTCCCTTGTTACATGTAACATTGTAGTACATTTTAATGAATTATTTTTTTGACTGAAAGTTTACAGCCGGAAAAATTCGTAAAATTGGGTATTGAGCCCCCCAAAGGTGTTCTCCTTTTTGGCCCCCCGGGCACCGGTAAGACCCTCTGCGCCCGAGCCGTGGCCAACCGCACCGACGCTTGTTTCATCCGCGTAATCGGGTCCGAATTGGTTCAGAAATACGTGGGCGAGGGGGCCCGCATGGTCCGCGAATTGTTCGAAATGGCCCGTTCGAAAAAAGCTTGTTTGATTTTCTTCGACGAAATCGATGCCATTGGCGGAGCTAGATTCGACGATGGCGCCGGTGGCGACAACGAAGTCCAGCGGACGATGTTGGAACTAATTAACCAATTGGACGGTTTTGATCCCAGAGGAAACATCAAGGTTTTGATGGCGACTAACAGGCCCGACACCCTGGATCCGGCTCTGATGCGTCCCGGTCGTCTCGACCGCAAAGTAGAGTTTGGGTTGCCAGACCTGGAGGGCCGGAGTCATATTTTTAAGATCCACGCGAGGTCCATGAGCGTGGAAAGGGATATTAGGTTCGAGCTGTTGGCTCGCCTGTGCCCGAATTCCACGGGGGCGGAGATCAGGAGTGTGTGTACAGAGGCAGGGATGTTTGCGATTAGGGCCAGGAGGAAGGTGGCCACCGAGAAGGATTTCCTCGAAGCTGTGAATAAAGTCATCAAGTCGTATGCGAAGTTTTCGGCGACTCCTAGATACATGACTTATAACTAATTTGTATTTTGATAGCTAAATATAATTTGCTTTTTGAAGATTGGGTTTTATTAATGGGTGTTGTTGTGCTTGTCAAAAGAAAAATGTGACTACTCAACTACAACCTAATTATTACAAGGTTAAAAATAAACCAGGTGCAAACAGCTAGATGGAGTATTTTTGACTCGGATGCGCTAGAATTATGTTCGTAATTAACAAGTGTGGATTTTTGCGAATTGGGATTTTTCATTGGATAATTGAAATGGTGATAGATGTGGGGAGATTTGGGAGATAATTGCGCTACATTACATTTGTCACAAGAGAAATACCTCAACAGATGCTTGCCATTAATCAAACAACAAAAGACAATTATTTTGAATCGATATTAAATTATGGCGTAATTATTATTTTTGGCACAAGACTAAAATTAAAAAAATAAATTCCTTCTGTCATCCTAACATAACAAATGTACGGAGGTGTACCTTTTAAGAGTCCAACTTAATTTCACTCTACATTTATTTTTCAAAATTTTGGCTAGCATTGACTGGTGACAATACTAAAAGGAATTTCAATGTTTACTATAAAAAGTTATCGGAAATGCAACACACATTACAGTTTACAAAGAACACCTGTTATACTGTTAAGTAGGGTGGTAAAACATTTTATTGAGCGTCGGATGTTTAGATTAGATGTTGATATTGTTCGGCATGGCCTATTTTTGTTGTCATTTATTTTAAAGCCAAACGAATTTACAATTTAAATAATGAATCGGTATTTCACACGATCTGTGGGCTGAATGAGAAAATTGATGCTTCTGTAAACAATTACCAGCCGATAATTGATAAAGATAACAAATAATTTTTATGAGTCTGTGAAGTAGTTTTTAAAAATAAATCATATTTTTTCTTGCATGGTCACATTATAATAAAACTAAACAACAGGTTTTACTTTGATTATAAACTGTAATCTTAAATGTTATAAGAGTAAAATGTTGGCTTTTATTATACATAAAACGTATTTAAAACCACAAAACGCACATAATTTATTACGTTCATAAAATCGTAAGTATTATCTTTTTAAACCCCGATATACGGTGTTATAAATTGAACATAATTTTTTCATTGTTCTGCAATATTTTAGGTAAATAGATGCATTTATTGTATGATCGTTAGTAATGAATTTGTCACTTGTTGGTTATATTCCAGATTGCATAGCTTTCACATTTACTCGTAAACCAGTCACGAGTACGAGTGTATTATTTATTCCGAGATTATTATTATAAGATATTGTTATTGTTGTCATACATTGTTATATTTATTTGCTTATATCATGATCCTTATCTAGTAATTTGTCATTGAATAACTGTAATTGAATGAGGTGAAACGACTACAACTTCTGGAAGTGGATGATTATAAAAACTTGAATCAGTTTTTTAACTATAGATACCTACTCATCAGTATATTTAATAATAATAATAGAGCTCGTTAATTATCAACCAGTGGAAATTTTTCTTGCAAAAAATATATACATTCTAGAACATCTATTCAAAGATTTTTTTGATAATTAGTCACTCCTACGCAATTCCTGAATGAAGAATGTTATGAACAACTGATTCAGTACGTTACGAAGACATTTGAGGAGTTCCTTTCACTGCCTGTTTAGAAATTCTTCTAACAACTATTGCAATATATGTATAAATAAGTTTAATGACTTGAAGTACCTATTTTTTGTACGTATAATTGTGATATAATTTCATCACCACATCACTAAATGCCGCAGTGGAGCGTAAAGGAACAGAGTTGTAGAGCGAATGGGTACGCTAAAAACAAAATATTATAAAGTTTAGTTATTTGAAAATGAATGCAAATTTTATGTGCAAAAAACAATGTCTAAACACAGTAAAACATTTTAACACTTACGGCATTAATCACATAAAAAACTCTTTTTTGGTAGTTAATTTTTTGTCGTTACATATTTAGTATTTTGTTATTTTGTTGAATTTTCCCCAGACGTTTTTATATTTTAAAATTACAAATAATAAACGGCAAAATCATATTTTTACTTGCTTAAAGCTGAAATTAATTCAATATATCGGAACATTAGGTATTTGTTTTACGTTAGTGGGCGGCAAAATTATATGGAATAATCTTATTTATTAAAACTGAAAATACTGAAAATACTTTGTTTTTACTAAAGCTCGAACAGGTCAATTTTCTCTCAATTTGATTTAAAATTGTATTATTGTATTTTGTTGATATTAATTCACTTTCTTGGTGATTTTTTTTGAAAACTTTATGTAGGTAATATTTAATATTTTGGTGTTGTCATTTTGACAATTAAAAGATCTATCAAATTGGCTAAAAAAATTAGGGGTTTCCATTTAAAATAAATGTCGATGACGTCATTACTCAAAAACCAAAAAGTGTAAAATTTTAAGTTGAAAATTGTGTATTTTTTCAAAAGAAAATTGACCTGTTTGACCATTTTTGCCAAAATAAAATATTTGCAGTTTTAATAATATTATTCCATAATTTTGTAAGTACTTACTTGCTTTTTTTACTATTTTCAATTTTTTTATTTCTTGTAAAAGCAGCAGTTTTTTATTGGTCAATGTAACATACTAACAAACGAATTTTTTAATACTTAAAACTTAACAGGGTTAAACTGCGAGGATTGATAATATTTGAAACTTGGCTAGAGCAGGATTAAGGATTTTGCTGTCAAATTAAGTAAAGAAATACAATAGAAGTCAATTCAAATCTGAAATCATTTGATTTAAATGGATTCAAATGTAAGGTAGTCATAAACTAAACATCCGTTAGATGTATAGTGCTTAGGTAATTTTCCAATAACGCTTCCAGATTAGTCTAGAAAATCCATATTTTCTTATTAAACACCCACTCCTGGTTATATTTAGTCTGGGTGATTCTCTTGTAAATTAAATAGAAAAGACTGATTAATGAAGTGTCACCCTACTAAGTCACGACGCGACTTAAACTGCTCTAATTAGAACCCATCAATTTTTAATTTTTTTTCAGCCAAATCAGGTGACTCACAAATAAACCTCGTGGTTATTTTAAATCGAAATCATTTCGTATATTTCAGTCATCGACAGTTATAATGAAAATAATCTAATTATATCTCTTTGGCAATGTGTCTCTTTGGAAAGTGAACCTGAATCACCTTTCTTGACAAAAACCATTTCAAATATTTACTATTGGGAAAAATGCGGCCAGCCTACCGCAACTCGCGAAAAAATCGCACTTATCCTCGTTTCAGATCTATTTTAACATCGGTGCAAACGACAACACATCCTTCGCGAATAATGATGGAGGAGACTAATGATCTACCTCTTGACAGGCTTCGTTTTTGCACCTAACAATAACAATTTCTAGCCCGTTCAAACGTGAAATATTTTACACGTTTAGAAAATTTTGCGTCGGGTAGATCGGGAGTAGGGGAAATATATAATTGGAGGTTTACATAAATTTTGACAGTGTCTGTTACGTTTTCATTTTTTCAACTAACAGCATTCCAGGGGCTGAGCACCTGCACAATGGTAAGTCGGGCTTTTTTTCAAAAAAATCCTAAAGCTTTTCCAGGAATCAGACGACCAGAAGATGGCCATCATGAGGAAGGCCTTCCAGATGTTTGATACCTCCAAATCCGGGTTTATCGAAACGCAGAAGATTTCCACCATTTTAAACACCATGGGACAGCTTTTTGATGATGGGGAACTCAATAAGCTGATAATGCAGAATGATCCGGATAAAAGTGGGACTGTCAATTTTGACGGATTTTACAACATTGCTTCACATTTTCTCGAAGAGGACGATGATGAATCTACTCAACAAGAATTGAAAGAAGCTTTTAGATTGTACGATAGGGAAGGAAACGGTTATATCACTACTGCAACTCTTAAAGAAATTCTAGCAGCCCTTGATGACAATTTGACCAGTAGGGATCTTGATGGGATTATTGCCGAGATTGATACTGACGGTTCTGGAACCGTCGACTTTGATGGTAAGTCAAAAACTATCATCTGCAATAATTTTCTTAATCTGTGTTCCAGAATTTATGGAAATGATGACTGGTGACTAAAAGACAAATTTCCGATCCAAAGACAACATGTACTAGTGATACTGACAAAATAACAAATAAACAATTTTAGTATAATAGTTTTTTCTTGTCCTATTTTTATTTCCTTTGCATCTCTTCCAACTGAAAGTGCATCCAACAAAATGTCTGTAAAATAATTAGCTTGATCTTGGATAAATTTAGTACTATCGTCATTACCAGTTTGATTTATTTTTGTCCGAAATTTCATTCAAACCCTTTGTGAACAGGAATTTCCGGTTTAGCAAAATGGCGACCGAAAAAAGCAAATTTATAATTAGAAGTTGTACACATCCGTTGTTGCGTATTTTTAGCTTATTAAAAATAACACTTTAATAATAAACATTTTCAATTGAGGGTTGGGCAAGGTTTTGGAATTTATAGTTTTTGGATTAATAACTTGTTGATGGCGATTGAACCGGATTTTTACGATTTATTCGTGATAAACCATAAATATTATTTTACTGTTTTTAACTTTGCAAATATTTGCTTTACTGCAAGGTGTAAAGTACGCTCGTTAATAACGTAACACCAAGTGGCGCATTTCTATTAGCTGCCAGTCACGTGGCAAATCCGAACAATCTTTTTTACACTAATTAAATTGAATACATGTTAAAATAGTGTTTTCTTGTTGAACTTGGGATTTCCGGGTACGCGACACAAACTTAAATTTGATTAATGGGTTAATATGCATCAACATACTAGAACTTTAATGTAATATCGCAAGAAGATAATGGAATTTTGGTGTCAAAGGGGCTGAAATTAACTACTAGCGGGTAACTATTAATGTTTGTGACAAAAAAATCCATTTGCAACACTGAAGTTATTGGTAATTCTTCTAATTTGTTTCAGCTGACGGCTAAATCAGCAGTGGCCTCTCGCAGATGAATAACAATTGCTTATAAAAGTTTGACATTTTAATTTTATAATCAAGGTTGTCAAACTAAAATTTTTTTGACACCAACTTGAAGTAAAAAATCACAATCATTTACAGTCACCCGGTATAAGTAAACATATTCTTATGATCGTAATAACAATTCAAGAGAATCAAAAAATGGAGATGTTTCGGATAATTCGTGTGAATTCTTCCAATCTGTTAAGATGTTAAGCAACCGATCGATCGAATCGAGGAGAGAATAACAATTCTGATGAAGAAATCGGAGTCTTTGTTTTGAAATAGATATATTTTTATTTTAGTTTGCTTGTGCTATGCTTGAATACTTAAATGGCCCAACACTTGGGGTAAATATTTGTTGAGGGTGTTTAGCACTACCTACATGTTGGACAAACAATTAATTTTCTGTGTTATCTTTGTGAAAAATGTCTAGGTGCAGCGGCATATCTATTAGTTACATCTAGGTAAATGTGACTAAATAATAATTGATAGTTAAAAGGAAAGGAAACAAGAAGTTTAAAATTTTCAGTATATTTTTATGTCCGTGGTGTCCATAAAGGAATATTAAAAATATACTTTACTCGTAATTTTAAAAATTTCAAGTAAATTATCGTGTTCTTTTATCCAGGGGATTGAAGAGTGACGCAGCAAGGCACTTGCCTCAGGCAATCAGTGGAAAAGACCGCGGAATTGATAAAAAATAATAATCAATAACAAAAAGATAATTAATAATTTGTTTCTATTTTACAATAATTTATTAAAAATGTAGGTTAAATTCTTGAAACAAACTCACAAATAAAAATGCCAATTTGGAATTCGAATTTATAATTTTTATGATTTCCACATGTCAAACCTATTGGATGTAAGTGTGCAAGAGTTATAGACTTGTTAAGTTGCTTTTGTGATTATAGTTTTTTTTTGTAACACCAAAACAGTGTAATAAAAGAAAAGACTTTCTTCTTGTACTGTTACACAACTATTCATATATGTATGTACAGTTTTATCTTACAGGGGCGCTGATTTACCTTTCTGCCTCAGGTGAAATTGTTGTCTAGTCTAGATCCGACTCTGCTAAAATTGAAGAAAAAATATAAATAACCTGAATAATCGTTATTTTTAATTTGAAAACAGTGTGTTTGAATTAAAAAATGAAGGCAAGTTTCTTGTTTACTTGTACAAATATGTAAATAAATTATGAGTTTTAATAATTAAAAGATTTTTTGTGTTTGAAATGTTTGAAATGCACCTCCAATAATGAAGTCTGATCTTGTATTGGTTTGGAGGTAAACAAGTTTAAAATCTTGACCCGTTTGAATAAATACCACAGAAAACAGTGCCAAATGCAAATAAAACTGCAAGTGTAGTATTATAATTTATTGATTTCAATAATAATTGTATACATATATTTCTAAATAATCTAATCTATCTCCTAAAGAAGGTATATTTGAAAATATATCGGGTGTTAATTCAAGTCTTTCAATTGCGCTCCTTGTGCAAAAATGTTTCATCTGGAAAAAATTTTTGGTTGGAGATAAATTTAGCTGTTGGATAAACAACGCGTGCTTTCAATCATGAATGTAACTCATTCTGGAAATTCCTGGAGGTTTTTCTACATGTTTACAACAGCGAAATGTAATTTTTACGTCGACTCTATTCACACAAGATGTGCCATTGCTGGTTCTGTTCCATAGGGTTGGCGATGGCCGTGTTCCACTGGATCAGAGCCTTGCCTCTTGCGAACATATACGAGCCCAGGACGCACTTCCCGATCAACTTGTCTGCAATCAAATCGTGATCTTGAACAACCAAGATCAAGGAAACGCGTTGCGTCACAGTGAAAGTAGAGGAAGTGCAAGCGGAAACCGAAATTATATAATTAGAAAGTAAATCGTGCAAAAATGAGATGATCAGCCACACGGACAAAACACGTACCCCTACCGTAACCAGAAGTCGCCTGGAACACGTGGAAAGCTAAGCTGGAGATGTCCACCTGAGATGGGGCCAGTTTGAAGTTGAAGCCTTCGGTGAAGGTCACGGCACCGTCGCGGGAAGGTCGCGCTACGCCGGTGCGCTTTTCTTTCACGCTGCGGTAGTGCTGGTTCAGGGTGAGGCGCACGTAAGCCTCGTGTTTGTCACCCTGGAACTAAAATAAATTCAGCATTCTGTTGCATGAGATATTTTTATTGATCTCACACATACAAAATAAGCCAATTTTAAGATTATACTCGCAGTTTTTTCCCATTAAAGACACGTAACAAGACCTGCTGGATTCTTAATTTCGTATGCAAAGTATATGTTGAAACTTAACGATTTGAGCAATAAAACAAATAAACTCACTTAAGTACCAAGTACCAATGGTCTACTATAAACACTCAACCGTTAGGATGAATATAACTTTTTTTATTACAAAAATCTGAGAAATGAGTAGATTGAAAATTAATACAGGATCCAAATTTTACGCATTCTATGAGTGCGTATGAATTTTTTGCTGTTAGTGGTTAAAAACTTTTTGGGAAAATCTTGATGTTTTGAGCAAACAACCATCAAGATATTAGGATTATACAGAGTGAATATAAAGTATGGAAACAAGTGTTTTTTTTTAATCATTTGCCTTCAGAAAATAATAATTAATATAAATTAAAGTAATATAAAAAATGTGACCTTATCTTGAGAACAAAATTTTTTGTTTTTAAATTATGCGATTTTTTTTGTCAAAATAGTTTTTTTTTAATTAAGCACAAAGTAGATAGTTGTAATCCTTAGATCATAACCTACATGAGAAAAATGATTTTTAGTGGGTTATTGTCATTTAAAAAAATAAAAAAATGAGTAGAACTCAAAAACAAAAGAAAATTTGAAAAATTTTGCTTTATCATTCACCAATTAGTTTTTCCAAAAAAATAAATAGTTAATAGTTAGTTGATATATTTTTTTTTCATGTACCTGGTATCTTGTCTTAGTTGAAAGTTTTCTCTGGGGCGCGAGTTCTGACACAGCCTGTATATGGAAGAACGGTATCAGGGCCACTAGGATGCCATATAATGGTAGATTGTTGTTGTGGTCTTTATACTCAAACTACTCAAAGGTCTTACAAAAGTACCTATTTTTTTAGACTGGATGTATTCTGTTCACAATAAAATATTAACTTAGATTTTTGGCAAACTGATATCTCGAAAATTAAAGCTGTTTGCTAACAAAAAAAATTTGCCTTCCTTTTTTCCAAAATTTTAAAAAATATTGTACTCTGTCATTATACTGTAGTCAACGAACAAGTTGAGAATGCATGGTTTGGAACAGAATTTTTGACTTCAAGACTATATTTAGCTTAGTTAGAAAGTAAAAACAGCTATATCTTTCTACAGACTTTAAACTACTAAAACTTTCCGCTTATCTGTGATGAAGGGGGCACAGAAGATGTCGTCTTATGCTTCTTAGCTTTATATCCACAAAACGGAGCCTGTTACGAGAAAAAAATAAAGCTTATAGAGTGTTTTTCTTTTGTTTTCCTCTTCTGTCAAATGTATTTCACCATTACTCAAAACTAGGTATTTCATTTGATATATTAATGTCAAAGCGACGTAGGCGGGAGATAGTTTTGAGAAAGACAAACACTCTAAAATTTTCTACAAGATGGGCTTCTCAGGTTTTTCGTATTTCAAATAGTTTTCGAGATATTTGCTAGCAAATATCGCACCCTCTAAAGAAACTATTAATGAATGAATGAATGAATGAATTAACATAAAGATTGTTGTAAAAATTGTAAGCATTGGGATTGGGCCGTTTAAAGTCGGCCATTATAATAATGTAAAAAACCAATCAGTGTAGATTTTTGGATTCATTCAAAAATTTTATTGCAATGATGTGATTGGTCCGTTTGAAGTCAGCCATTATTATAATGTGAGTAATCATGGAGAAACCAATCACTTTAGACTTTAGTTTAATTCAAAAATTAAGCAAAATTAATTAATCCAGTTTTGAATTCATTCATTAAAATAATGATTTTTAAAATGTTACGTGTGTAGGGGTAGGTACCCTTTTGTGACTATTCTGATTTCTGAGTAAATTGTGACGAAGAATTTGCACCTTACGTTGCGTTGTACTTGATTTGGAAATAAAACCGAAATATTAGTGTTTTACCCACCCTATGTGCTTACAAACACAACATCAATTGGCGACGAAGATGTGGAAGTGAAAATTGTCTTCGAATCTGAACATTTTCAATTTTCATGCAAGAACTCGGAACAAGAAGCAAACATAACCTCACTTTTTTGACTTTCTTGGGACCACTTGCAGAAAGGTAAAAACTGTTTTCCACAAAGTGCAAAGGCTTACAGTACAATTTGCAATCTGTTGCAATCAATATTCCCTCATAACCACTTTTGTTGTAATCTTGGTATTTAGACACCATGGTGCAAAGAGAGACAAGATTTTTTTTAAGGGTGCGATCATAGACGAACCCCTTTGGAAGGGGGCTCGTCTATGAGTGCTATATTTGCTAGCGGATGTGTTAAAAACTATGTAAGACACAAAAAAAGTCTTGTAGTAAATTTTATAAACATTACTTTAGTAGGTATATTAAACCAGTTTTTTTTTCGTAACACGCACTCTTTTGTGGATATAAGCCACAAAACGGCACCTTCTTCGTGCTCCCTTGCATCCCCGCTTACCTCAGACCAGGGACTTTTAGTACTTTCTAAAATTCTAACTAATCCAAATACAACAGTAAAGTTATGATTGTGTTTTACAACCCCTTTTTGAGCGTCGATTGACTGGACTATTAATTCTTTTAGCTTTTTTAGAATTAGGAAATAATAGAAAAGGAGATTTTTGTACGTTGGTAAACATTACTTAATTTAATTTCATTTTTGGTGGAAGAAAAAGTGCAATAAAAAATAATAGTAATCTACTGTAAAATTTTGTTTACTCTGTCAAAAAAAATCCAAAGAACTGAATAAAAATAATCTGGTTTTGCAGAAATTAAATCAAAGATGTTATTCTTGTATTTTAGTGAAACTTTGTCCTTTGTGGACCCAATGAATTAATATAATTTTCTGCATAATATGAGAATCGTGAATTAAAAAAAAAGTCGTAAAATTAAAAAAATCTTTTATTTGTTATTAAACCTAACCTAGGACACCTCTTATCACCAAAATCACATTAGACTTCCACATACAGGTACAAAAAATAAACCGCGATTGTGATTCCTATCCCTAACAGAAACATCACAAAATGTGGCAAGTATTTCAATGAGACCCTTTTCCGCTCTTCTAGGGCCATCTGAATTAAAGAAATTTTCGAATTCGAGTACGGCGGGTACCTACTCGCCATGATTTTCTCCGGAATGGCTTGAAAATCCCTAACTAGAACACTCTTTTTGTGTGTAAAAGTATCAAATGTTTTTTTTCCATGATAACAACCCATACCACTTGTCCCAACACCACCAAATGGTAAAACATCGACTGAAGCATGGAGGATTGTATCATTGACACAAACTCCACCACTGGAGGTCTTCGAGAGGAGTGTTTCCCGGTCGTGTTTTCTGGTTGAGAAAATATACAAAGCGAGGGGTTTGTTCCTGCGATTGATAAAAGTGATAGCTTCATCTATACTATTTACTGGAATAATGGGTAAAATAGGACCGAAAATCTCCTCTTGCATTATGGCGTGATTGGGGTTGACATCTATAGCGATTGTGGGCTCCATAAATCTCTCTTTTTGCTCGTAGCGTCCCCCAACGGCGATCTTAAGGCCGGGCAAAAGACCAATCAATCTCTCGAAATGTCTATCAGTGATAATCCGACAATAATCATTACTATCTTTAATGTCACTACCGTAAAACTCCAAAAGAGCCTTTTGTGCATATTTGACGAACTTTTCTTGCACTTCTTTAGTGCATAAAATATAGTCAGGGGCGATGCAAGTCTGGCCCGAGTTTATGCATTTTCCCCATAAAATACGTTTCACAGTTTTGGCAATATCGGCCGAGTTGTCAATGTAGGCGGGGCTTTTGCCGCCCAATTCTAATGTGACAGGTGTGAGATGCTTATTGGCTGCTTTGTGGACGATTTGGCCTACAGAGGTGGAGCCTGTGTAGAAAATATAATCGAATTTTTCTTTAAGTAATTCAGTTGTTTCTTTAACTCCACCCAAGTATACAGGATAGCACTCAGGATCCAAATAGTTGGGGAGCAGTTTATAAATGAGTTGACTTGTAGCAGGAGAGAGGTCCGAGGGTTTGATTACAACGCAATTGCCGGCTGCTATAGCACCTACGAATGGAATTTTGTAATTTTTTTTTGAAAATTCTAGGTTGTAAAAAACTGCTCTTCTAGCTTTTTTGAAATGGGTTCGGTCAAAGAGAACAGGTTTTTAATTTTTTTTCTAGACTTGAAACCGGTCTCAGCAAAATAAATTAGACTTGGATTGGTAAACATGTTTTATCAACTTAATTATTATTTAAAAAATGTTGGTTTGCAGGAAGTGCAAGTGTTTAATTTTTATTAAAATTGAAAGAGATCTGCTTTGTTTCACTTTCACTATTGTTAATAAAACCGCGTTAATTATCGCTTTTTCCCACACCTAACGATCCAGATAAACGTCTCGGTATTTCATTTCAATGAAAGTAACATTTTCGACATATAAAACAATTTTGCCACATTAGACTTATATAATAATTGCGCCAATTTCGATATATCCGAACTCGTTAAAAAAGAAAGTAGGTTTATGAACCGTGATTTACCTTTCACACAAAAAACAAAATCTCGAGAAAAATTTGTTAGAGACAAAGTTCAACGTATAACGCAATAAATAATTCAGACTCGGTCTGTTGTGCGATTTTAAGCAAGAAAAAAACAAGGTTTAAATAACTTCCCGGTGGAAAACTTGGCCAAATGTAAATTTTTCCATTTGTTCTTAAACAGATATGAATAATTTATAACAAATCGGGCAAATATGAATAAAATATCGCGTGTTTAACAAAACGTAATTTACACATGCCGAAGTTTACCGTAATTAAATAATAATTAAGAACAAACACGCATATTACATATTTGTCACCTGCTGGGGCGAGGTTAATGGGGCACATATTCGATAGAATTTTTTTAGAAAAAAAACTTGTGAGGTGTCTTTGGCTCTTTGTGTTAAATGTGATAAGTGATAAGTTAAAACAACCTTGTCACAACAATACTGAACTTATTTAATTTCCTGACACGACACGTTCGAAAGAAAACAACAATTGAGAATTAAAGAAATTGTCGTTCGGTGATAAATAAAGTGATTTGCCTTGTTCATGGAAATGAATTGTTAAACAACTTTGTAATGGATAAATATATTATTTCTTTTATAGTCCATTCTATGCATTTCAAAATGTAAATTTAGTGAAAAATGCTCAAAATATAAAAATTTTTGATCAAATATAACGAATTGATCATTTCTATTTATTATTATTTTTATTAGTATTAGTTCAATAAATTATTGTGAAATTTTAGTAAAGAAATATCAATAGAACATTAAATAGTTATAAGTTAAATAAGAATTATGAAAAAATTTTAAAAATCGGTAGGCCCTGTTAGAATTTTTATTTATGGTGCGCTTTTAAAAATTAAAAAAATAAATTTTAATGTAGTATAAGTTAACAATTGTAGAATTTTTCTAAATGTCATAGTACAATTTAACATTTAGAAAAATTACAAAACTGTCAGCTTATACTATATTAAAACTCATTTAATTTAGTTTTTTATTTTTGAAATCGGGCCATAAATAAAAATTCTGCAGCACCTGCCCCCACCCCGTATTTATTATCTTTAACACAACGTTTGTACATAATAGTAATATTTCTTCAACTAATAGAAATTTTTTGGAATAAAAATCAAAAATGAATATGTGATTTTGTTACTTTTTGCCTATTTTGCTTACAATGAATATAAAAATTGAATTTCGTAAAAAACCTGAAACTAAACAAAGATTCTTCTATTACGGTGGTCATTTAAAACAATTTTTGAAAACCAGGTTTAATGTTTTAAGAATATTCCATTAACTTTTTCAGAAGATCAGAGAAATTCAATTTCTTTTCGTTTCGAATATCTTTGAGTTTATCTCATTACTTTATTTATTCAATTTTCAACTAAATGCAATCATTAAATTGAGTTTAGTGCTTAACTCATTTATTTTATTATTTTTATTAAAAAAATTGAATGTGATTTTTTGTAATTCAGTGATATTTCTCTTTTGGGTTTTTGCTTTGTTTTATATTGCATTTGTAATAATCACCGGTTTTCCATACAGGAATTAAAATTGATTGTATTTCATTAGATGACAAACAAACAGTTTAGAGAAAAGCCTGTCTTGAAAACTGTAATATTGTTAAACAATAAGAGTTCTTTTTGACCGAACAATAAAAAACCTTGTACTAACCGATAACAGGCATCAGTACCAGCATCAGGGGATAATTCCAGGCACCCATGACTAGCACAACCCCATACGGATCATTATAAATCATCACCCCATCCATAAAATTAACCAGCGATTTTTTGGGTTTCTCTGGTTTCGTCCACTCGTCCATATGGTTGATGGCATGTTTGGCTTCCTTGACCACCGGACCGATTTCGTAGCACACCGCTTCTTGTTTGGGTTTCTTGAAGTCCTGGTAAAGGGCTTCCAGGATAGCGTCTTCATTCTCCTGTACGAACTTGAGGAGGTTATTGAGCTGCTTCTTCCGGAATTTGATCGGTTTGGTTTTGCCTTCTTCGAATCGATCTCTGGCGATGTGAACAACCTTCGCCGGGTCTGGAAGTGTTATGTCGACGACTGTTTCGCCGGTTCTTGAATACATTTTCACTCGCGTTCACTTTCTAGCTGTGTGTTTGTTGTATTGCATGGATGCAACTACTGTTAGATAATACCGATCTGCGAGGGAACTGTACCGAAACTTGCGAACCAATCGCGGTTTTCGCGCAGAACGGGCCTTCGCCTAGTTTACCTTGGAGGTAACACTGACCGTGGACGAAGGGAGGACGAGGGTAATTAGTAGAGGAGGGAGAAATAAGACATGGAGAAGGGATTTTTTGAGCCGCATGGGTGACATTTTATGTCAAAATAAGCAGAGAGTAAATCGAGCAAATTATCTTTTAAATGAGTCTGTGACGTCAGTGATAACAATGTTGAGGTCAATGGTCCAGATAATATTAATTGATATTTAAATATCAATTTTAAGAACTTTGAATTTAGAGCATTAGTACATGCAGACTGATTTTTCATCGAGCATTATTTTTTATGGCTTTATAATTACACAAATATTGACGATCCTAATGATAAAAATTAATTAGGATATAATGTGCAAGAAATATTTAAATTCAATTAAAAGAAGGTATTAATATCAAATGAAAAATGTACAACTTTCATATTTTATTAATAGACATTTTCGCTTGTTACAATTATCCACAAGAAAGAAAATGTTTTTTACCCGTACATGAATACGTTAATAATGAGCCTGAAAGTTTTTTTTAAGCAATTAATATTACATTTCAGACAACGTGGATATTAAAATATTTGGTTCCGTCACATTTTTCTAATACTGTATAACTCGTCAATTAGTTTTTTCAAAAAATAAATAATTTTGAGAAAAAAACGTTTGGTTTATTTTTTTTATTCACGTGGTATGTGTTTTCTACTAAAGAGATTGTATTTTTGCTCTAAGAAAATACCCATTTTTTTCTAAACAATGGTAACATAATACTGAAGATAATAAAGGAAAATGAAAAGACATCAGATTAAGCCCGCTATATGCTGCAAATACTCAGAGTGCTGAAAAAATGTTTAAAAAGTTTAAAATTTTCAAATTTATTTTTTGACATTTGATATTTTTTATTTATACAGGGTGTTTCACATAATTTTACGAGGCCTACGCCTGTAAAATGCAATCAATAATACATATTCCGACACGAACTCGATTAGAAATTTTGAAAAATTGTATAGTCTTCTCTAGTTTGTTCACCCCTTCAAAAAAAAAACATTTTTAATTAGTTAATGATTAAAATAGATAAACTAGAATCATTCTCATGCCGTCTCTTAACAGAACGAATGATAATTGTTTCTGAAAAATTGCAGTTTGTGACTATTAATGAAACAGTGGTTAGTTTGACAACTACTGTCATGGGTTTCCAAAAATTAAATTATTAAATGTGTATTTTTTGTATCTAGTGTTTTGTGAATTTTGTACATTTGGGTGCGTACATTAGGCGCAAGCCTCGTAAAGTTGTGTGAAACACCCTAATGATATTGATGATCTTGTATATGTTTCGTTTCCTCTTCTAATAGCCTGTAGCAAAAAAACTTGAAAAATTATTTTTCTAACAGAGATAGGTAAAGTCAAAGTGCAAAATTTAAACTCTCATAACTTCAAAATTTTTATAAATAGAATTTTTTAACATTATTCTTGTTGTCTAGGGCACCGACCGATGATACAGTGTCACGGAGGTGCGCGACTTTCCGGACAGCCTGTGTATCATCTTCGATTTGTTTTTCATCAAAAAAAAAAAACAAATAATTTCTATTTATAGACGGAAAATTTGCCATAATATTATTAGTGGTTAAAAAACATCCTGTTTATAATGTCCTATACCAAAAGTCAGCACATTTTTTTGTTTTAATTACGACGGAATTGCTATAATTGCAGTTCTAGACAATTAATATTCATATTAATTCCCCACTCTATTCAAATGAAGTTTTTTTCTATCGTCTCGCGTCCTATGTCGGGTCAATGTCAATGGTAAAATTTTACAACCTATTTATATTTTGTCATTACATTGTGTTTATTTAACATTGATCCTAAAACTTTATAATTACATACAATTATGAAAAGATAACTTATTGCAAATTTAATAATTTGTCCTAATTAGAAATGTTTCTAGCGCAAAATATAAAAACAACAGTTAAGAAAATTATGATTGTTTACATATTTTTTGTGTACGTTTAAGGAAATCTAACAAACCGCAAAACCGCAAATTTTCGGTTGTCCTAATTGTTTCATTAGCACCCAAAATGACGTCATCCTTAGTCAAAATAAAAAATTCCTGTCAACCTTCGTATTTTATGGACCTTGGCTTGACAAGATTTTATATAAATGTGAATAAAGGTCACATTTCTTGTGAGGTCTTTCGAATTCTCATCTGCTATTTTATAGATGTAATTATTTTCAAGAATTTAAGAAGCTTCAGGTATTCCTATTATCCAAAGCAAGGAAAAAATTCCGTTAAAACAATTGAAATTTGAAAAAGCACTCTATCTCATGGTAATATTTCAAATATCTATTTTTGTTAACGTGTTTATTTTTTATGCTGTTACACGTGCAGCGAAGAGGCTATTTGTATAAATTATATTCTCTCGTATTTGTAAATAACAGAAGTCAATGTCGATGCATTTTAATCAATTTATAATTCGTCATTAGTCATTACTCTTTATACTACTTTTATGGTTAAATTATTATTTTTATGTAGCCGCAACATACATAAATTAAAATTGACACCGCATGAAACAAAGCAATTTTCTACGTCATAAATGTTTGATTTTATGCAGCACTAAAATACCAATTATTAAATAAAGCATAGGAACAATGCCAGCGATATTATGAATGAATATTAATATGAAACTGAAATCACTTTAACTAAAATAGCTCAGACGCTACACATGTAAAGCTGTAAAAATCGTAACACATTTGTTTATATTTATAAGAAAATAATTTGGCAGAGTACCTAATAAGTGCTGACATTGAAAAATCGCGTCTGCACTGTAATAACAAACGACAGTTATAGTAAACTAAATATCTTTAAACCGTAAGCTACTGCTCCTAACTTGTATAATTCAATGTCAATGTTGAGTAATTTTGTAATGTAAATCGCATTCAATAAATAAAAAATTCACCACTCATTTAACGGGCCGTTGAACTCGGAAATGAATCAATTATAAACGACTTTGGACGACTATTACAGCTTCAAATTAAATTAAATTAGCTTTAATCGTTGTGGAATTAAATTTTCTTATCTCAGAGAAAGTTATAACAAATCACCACTTCTCTTATTATCGAAAATTTGTAAGTTCCTTTGGTTTCGATGTTAGTTGCAATAATCGCGTTTACATAAACCTGAAATCCCAACTGATGCTTTGAAACACTTTAAAAGCTCTCTCGTGCTATCATTCAGGACCTTGCTTTAAGAAAAGCCGAGCGTGCAACAAATTACATTGTCTTGTCGGATTTGTTCCTGTGTGACTGATATATAGCTGCTTTTGTCTGCACTTTTCCTGGTGTTAAATCGCTGTTTAAAAGATATGTAGGAAAGCAATTAGACGTTGTGTCGTGCAATTACAATAAGCTTGGAACACGTAATATTTAACTTGTCAAACTAACGATGAAATTGCGGTTTATGTGGTAACGATGGATGGTCGCACACATTTTGGTTTATACAGGCTGATTCAAAAGTCTCGGCCCTTTTCTTGGGTGGTGATAAAGGACAACTATCTGAGTTAAAAGTTTCTATGACAAAAGATTGTTTGAGCTTTTCAAAGGTTAGATTTTGTGTTAAGTTTTTGTCCGTTCAGGTAATGCATTTATGTATTTAGTTAGTGGAAATGGCAGGATCTTGGAACATTAAACTGATACCTGTTGAAAAAATCACCAGTGTGTGTTATGGTGAACATTTAACAAACTAGCAAATTTAATAATAAATTATGAACTAAGGTGTCTACATGATGATAATATGGGAATTGTCATTTCAATTTTTTTCTCAAAAAAATAACGCTCAAAAAAATAACGCTCAAAAAATCTGCATTTATTTTTGTAGGTATTTATCTGAAAGCCTTTTATCACTATTGGAGAGTTCACCGGACACTTTTGAATCAGCCTGTAGGGTTCAAAAGTACATTTTGTATGTCATGGCAAAAATAGAAACCAATAAAAATGGTGGATGCGCCGGGTTGCCGATTTTTGTAAATTAATGAACTTGTCTGCTATTTAAATTGCAATAGCACAACACATTATTTTATTCATTATCAGTTTGCAGAATATTGTTGGTTGCATATACAACTAATTTTTTATCGCGCCATCAAACTCAATTCTAACTTTCCATTCCCGGCTATTCACGTAACATAACTAGTACAGACTTGCGGTTTAAATGATTTGAAAATAATTTATTACAATGCTGAAACTTTTGCATATTGCATAAATGTCAGATGTTTGCGATGGTAACATCATAAATTAAAATTTTCCATTCGTATTGCATTAAAGGATTATTAGAGAACAAGGAAACGTTAAAAACATTTTACATATCTTGCGGGAAGAAACCTTCTCTTTTGTTATTTTTTATGTAGTGTGAATTAAAAGCGTTATATAATAGTAAATCGTATGTTAAATGTGTTGTTGCTCTTATGAAGAAATTAATCACATTTAAGTAAAGGTTTTAAAGAGAAAATGAGTGAACTGGGAATAGCACTCTTGAAAGTTGAATGGAATATTTTGATCAAAATTTATTCCAGTTAATACGGCATTAGCATACTTTTTGAAACTTGAAACATGAAAATGACAGCTTGAAATCATATATTTTATGGATTACTTAACGAGTTATGCAACCAACTGTACCTCAATATAAATAAAGGAAAATGAATGTTTTTTTTCGTTTGGACCCTAGAATGGGGCATTTGGAATTGGTTTTGATAGGGTGGTATTTGTTAAACAAATTTTTATTTATTTACAATCATAAAGTAATAATCAAATTATCTTACATGTGAAAAGTTGGAAAGTATGACATTTCAACTTTATTTAACAATTCATTTGAAATATACAATTCACTTGTCAAAACAATCTCCGAAGCAAACAACGCAAATATATAGTGCAGGTTGGGAAATGGCCACTTTCCAACCCGAAAATTGAAAAGTGACCACTGTTCAACCTGCACTGTCATAATATGTCATTTCAAATTTTATAAATTCTTTATTGTCTTTTTATTCTTTAAGGAGAATAATTATGAATAAAATAGTATACAAACCTTGGTGGTCGTTGCTTCATCGTACCTTGTTTGAAGCACCTCCCACCTTGGTATGCAATCTACTATCACTATTTTTTGTTAATTTTGATTTACTGTTTATGTTGTTTATGAAAAAAAAACATATATTTACAAAAAAACAATAAAAAACAATACTTTATTTTAGGATATTTTCTTATTTACATTAGTTGGTTATTACTTCGTATAATGTAATAGGGCAAAGTAATTGAAAATTAGAAAACCTACAACAAATCCTATGAAAAAAATCGAGAAATAAAATAGCCAAATCCACGACGGGCCTCTTCTGTACTTCAACAAAAACGCCAAAATATCAGTTTTTCGACTGGAATACGGCGGATACCTCATTTCATTCGCTTTCTCAATAATCTTACTAAAATTTTTCACCAACACACTTTTCTTATGAACAAACGTATCGAAACTATCCTTTCCTTTATAACACCCCATTCCACTCAACCCCACACCCCCGAACGGCAAACTTTCAACAATCAAATGCATCAGTGTATCATTCACTGTAACACCACCCGAAGAAGTATTATCGATGACATAATCTCTAACAACGGCATTTTTTGTAAAAATATACAAAGCTAGTGGTTTTTCACCCCTGTTAATAAAATTCACAGCTTCTTTAAAATCATTAACTGTGATAATTGGCAGGATTGGCCCGAAAATTTCTTCTTGCATGATGGGATCTGTTAGACTCACCCCTGAGACAACAGTCGGTTCTACACAATTATCGAGGGGGTCAACACGGCCCCCGATTACCACATTGAGACCCCGAAGCAATTTTTGAAGCCTCTTAAAATGAAAATCGTTGACTATGGGGCAACATCGGGGGTCATTGTTGAAGAATTTAGCCAACGCAGTTCGCGCATGTTGGATGAATTCCTTCTCGACCTGTTTTGTACACAAGACGTAATCAGGGGCGATGCATGCCTGTCCCGAGTTGAAACATTTGCCCCACATTACTCTAGCTGCTGTCATTTCTAGATCAGCACTCGAATCAATAAAAACCGGGTTTTTGCCCCCTAATTCCAGTGTTGTGGGGGTTAAATATTTGTTGGCAGCTCTATGGACTATTTTTCCGACTGTTGCTCCCCCTGTGTAATAAATATAGTCAAATCTTTGGTTTAGTAATTGGTTGGTTTCCTCGATTCCACCGAGAAACACAGGGTAACAAATGGGGTCGAGATATTTGGGCAACAACCTGGCCAACATGTTGCCAAAAGCGGGGCAAGTGTGTGATGGCTTGATCACCACGCAATTCCCAGCAGCCATTGCGCCTAAAATTTTGTCTAAATTCACATTTTATGGATTTTTGAACGTACCTGTGACCGGTACAAGAGTCAAAAGTGGGACATTCCACGACCCCATGACCAAAACCACCCCCAAAGGGTCATGGTAGATATACAGTCCGTCCAGCAAGTCGATCCATCTCTTCTCCGCCATGTCGGGTTCTGACCACTTTCGCACGTTATTAATTAAGTATTTTAGATGATTTATCGCGATGAGAATTTCAAGTCTGGCTTCCTCTCTATGCTTCCGCAGGTCTTCGTACATGCTTTCAATGATTTCTTTTTCGTTTTCTTCGAGGAATTTGATGAAATTTTTGAGATTTTTAAGGCGGTAGCGCATGTTTTTAGTGAAGCCTTTGTTGAAGGCATCGCGCGCTGTTGTCACAATATCAGTCGTTTGGTCTTGTATCATTCTTGAAAATCTGAATCGGACTGAGATTAGTTTGTATTCAAAGGGGTTTAAATATTTTTATCGAAGGTCGGAGTTGTGACACCAGTTTTGGGACTGAAGCTTCTTTGAATTTTAATCAGGTTGGCACGTCTAACGGTTAACAATACTAACTGATTGTTTTAAAAAGAGCTGTAATTTCTTCAGTTATATAATAAATAAAATACGTACTTGGAAGGGTCATTCAGTAGCGTCATAACACTTTATTATATTAGCTAAATCAGCATTAAGTGCGTGATGACTTATTCAAAGGTAATTGCTCTGAAGTAAATTTACTCATCAAATGGCAAGAAAATGACGATATTTACTTACCACAAATGTACTCAATTCAGGCATGATTGCATATTCGTATGTAAGCAATTGAGGTGACATTGACATGACTGATAATAAGTTTCAAAGTTTACTACATTGGAAATTAATATAAAGAACCAGTTCTGTCATGTGGATAATTTCGAATCGGTGTGTAGGGATTGGCTACTTTTATATCAGCCCTTGAAATTCATGACCGGACTGCGGCGAACTCAAAATTATACCTGAAAAAGTAAAGACCGGACTGCGGCCGCAACACCAAAATGTCTTATCTGATTAAATCAACGGGGGTTGACAGTTCCATACAACATTACTTAAACAATGATATTACCAGACTATGCTTTGTTCTTATTAAGAAATTATTTTTGTATATAAATTTTGTACAAGATTTGTGCATACATATACGAAGTAATCCAGAAAGACTCAGTCTGTTGATAACAGATTTGAAAGTATTTTTGTTAATAACATGAAACACTGCAACCAGATACGGTTTTGCTTGACAAATATTTGACCCCTCAAGATTGGTAAATTATTGTTAATCAAAAGCGTACTCCAATGGTTAAAAAATTAGTGGATCACTTTGTACATATAGTGTAAGAAAATAAAATATTTATTAATACGAAAATTAAACTTATTTTACCTAAACTTTATTAAGATTACTCTCGGGATTACATACAACCATCTACAAGATGCAGCCGGAGAAATTATAAGATAATCCTGCTACCTGCCTTTCACGGCCGCAATCCGATCCTGCCCTTTCGAATTCGTTTTGGTTGATTACAATTTTTAGAATAGTATTATACAATGATATTTATCATATCTACATATTTCTTCCTTTTTCAAGTTGGTTGAAATAAAAGAAAGTAACCTTCTACGTGTGTTGATCATTTATTATAGTGATACAAACTTGGTTACAATTTACATTGTTATGTAATTATTATGTGTAACAAGTAACTTATTTAATATTTTTTATTGATAAATGTTTCAGTTTCTTTAATAAAGTGGCAAGCTGGGGTTTGTTTAATTTATACAGTACGTGATATTTGGTAACACGGAAATATTTGTGAAAAAATAAATCGGCCACCATGAGCTGCGTGTGTGTTTAACAAAACAATTATTTATTTTATTATGGATAACAATCGGTGTGGGTGCATATTTAGCTAGTTTTTATATGCAAAATTGTAACTAAAATATTGTAATTTTTGTTTCATTTCATAAAATTCTATACTTCGGAAACTGTATAATCGACAGTACTAAAAATCTAATTTTTTGAATAATTAGACTAGTTGTGTATTTCCAAAATTATAAATAGTTAATAGTTGTAACAAAATATTGACTTTACAAAGCATTTAATTAATTATAATAAAAATGTACAGGCTGAGTTTAAAAAAAAACATAGTTTGAAATAATAATCAGAACAGAAATTTTTGCTTTGCTTCATATGTATATTTAACTTTTATTGAAAATGTTGCACATACGATTAAAAATATAAAAAAAGTGGTAAGGACAAAGTTGTAGAGAATTAAATTTTCTTCAAAAAAGTCCGCGACACCATACGTCTATCTTCAACGATTTCAGCCCTACAGACAGTTAAAGCTGCTTTAATGACAAAAACATTTTACTTGTACCGTTAAAGATAAAGATTTGTGGTAGAGATATGATAGAATTATCTGTATGTGATTTTTCTGTTTTACTTGTCATCACCTTCATTTAAATAAAGCAATTGTTTATTTCGTTGCTCTTAAATTGTAGACACGCTACTGAGACTATCAATCATTGAATGAGAGCAATGGATTGATCGGTTTTTTTAAACTGAACATAGGGCTATGTTAGGAGTTAAAAAATGTCTCTGTATGTAAATAGATGACAGTAAACTGGGCTTTTGTTTAAGAAGTATTGTCATATCTTTAAAAATAATGAAGCTATGGCTTAAAGCGTTTTTTATTATCCAGCTTGTTTAATACTAATATAATACAATGCAGGGTTAGTCACGAGAGGGTTATTTTTGAATTTGTTTTTGCCGCAACCCATTATACATATTGCAACAATTTTTTGATTTCAAATTTTGAAAATAATTATAACTAAATCCACGATAGCTGTTATTAGTCTTGTCTCTGTGACATTAAATCAAAAAAATCATCTCTCAAACGATGCGACATGTTTTGTTATCGTTTACCAGCCACTAGGCGCATTTTTAGAAGTCGATGGTAGACACTTCAAACACCTTTTACATTAACTTAACTTGTTAATTTACTTGTTAAATTTTGATTAAATATAGGTTATCTGTCAATCTAACATTTGTGGCAAATCTATCCAACTTACTTTGATTTGTAATTTTAAAGAAATAACATATTTAATTTAGCAGTTAGTGAGATTGGTATTGTTGGTTGCGGCAAAAAAAAAATCAGAAATAACCCTCCCGTGAATAACCCTGTATAGTACAGGTGCGCCAGAACTCGCGCCCTAGAGAAAAATACCATGTAAGGTAAGATACCATGAACATGAAAAAAATGTTAAAAAAAATCGATCTATAAAAATTTCGAAGTTATGAGAGTTTAAATTTTGCACTTTAGCTCTATTTATTTCTGTTGGAAAAATAATTTTCCAAGTTTTTTTTGCTACAGGCTATTAAACGAGGAAACAAGAAAGCTGTATCCTAAATTGTAACGCTGTTCAATGTTATTTTTGACTTTTATTGGCAAAATTTTTGTACCTACAAAATCATTAGTATCATTTAATAAACATAAAAAAATGTCAAACATCAACATTTTTTTAACATGTTCCTGGTATCTTATCTTACTTGAAATTTTTCTTTGGGGTGCGAGTTCTGGCGCACCCTGTATTATATTAATTTTGAAATAGTTTGTTTTTTATTTTTTAAAAACTTTAAACTTTGAAGATTTTTGGTTGTTCAGGAATAGGGGAAAAAATCTAGGGTTTGATGTTAGATGACTACTATATGAGCCCCTTGAGTACACTTCACTTTTTTAAGGAAAACAACCTGATTTTCAAGGTAACTCAAAAAGAGCAAAATTTATAAGGTCCCCTTAGAATACGTTTTTTTGATGATTTTGCCCTGTTTCTATAAGGTAGAAGGCATGCTATACAAACTTTTGTAGATAGGTTTGTTCAGCACAAGAGTTCAAATTTAATGATTCTAGAAATCAACCAAACCACAAATTGAACAAAATTTTAATAAAAAATTAAACATATAAGGCTCCTTCAGAACACTTTGTTTATTGAGCATTTTGACTTTGTTTTCAAAGGTATTTTTAAAAAAGCAAAACTATATGGGCTTGTTAAGCACACATCATTTTTTTGTCAGATCTACTCCGTTTTTCAAGGTACCTTTGTTTAAAGTTAAAATTCGCTTTTTTTACTAGTAGTTAGACGGTTTTATGTTACTTAAAACTCGATAATATTTTTGTAAATTATTGTATAAAAAATAGCGATGTTTTTACGTTTCTATTTTTTTAACAATTTTCCTATTTTTGTAAAAGGAATTTATGGCTCCTTTTTCACTATTTATTTTGTACCTAAATTGAGAAATTTCTAATTGATTACCTTGTGCTGATTCTATTCTGAAAAATATAGAGCATTCACTTTAGATAAATGCTTATAAGAAATTTTAGCCTTGATTTTACAGTATCAAAATGTCATGTTACCAAAACAATTACTTTTTTTTAATTGATAGTGCTTCAAACTACTTCAAACATTTTAAATCAATTATTCACCAAGGCTACATTATTTTCACAACACATTTTTAAAACATACATATTTTACGAAGCGGCATCTGCAATATTGTAAAAATATTCCAACGATCAATAAATCGTTACAAAATCTATACTTTAATTTATTCTTTCTCACAGATAGCATTATTAATTTAGTTAACTCGTAGACCAATCTATAAAGGAACTTGTGGTGTAAATTTTCCAAAAATAAATGAGTTAATTTCATTACTCTCTATACTACAGTATCACAGACAATTCCTAAAAAGGCTTCCTCCATAAATTAGTCATCATCATCGCTACAAAAATAATGTAAACCATACGCGAAAGTCATCCCCAATCCAAAAATAAATGCTGTTTTAAGCCAACTGAAACTAATCCCTCTTCGTTTTTTCGTAGCCGTTGAGAGAAACTCAGACTTTGACTTGGAATAAGGCGGATATCTCGCAAATTGTGTCAACTCGGCTACTTTTCCTAAACTTCTCATCAAAACACTCTTCTTATGCGTGAAAGTGTCAAATCCAAATTTTCCATGGTAGGCTCCCATCCCACTACACCCCACCCCTCCAAATGGCAAATTTTCAGTGCAAATGTGCATTATTGTGTCATTGATTGTAAGGGCCCCACTTGAAGTGTTATTCAAGAATAACTCCTTAACATCTTTGCGATTTGTGAAAACATAAAGGGCCAAAGGTTTGTCGCGCTTGTTGATAAAATTGATAGCCTCCAAAGGAGAATTTACAGTGATGATGGGGAGAATGGGACCGAAAATTTCTTCCTGCATTACTGGATCGTCAGGTTTAACATCAGTGAGGACCGTTGGAGCGATAATCCTAGTTCGGGGATCTCCAGTCCCCCCAATTACCACATTCGAACTTTTAATAAAATTTATAAGACGGTTATAGTGACGATCGAGGAGGATTTTGCTCAAATGTGGACTAACTTTAACATCATCACCATAAAACTCATCAAGAATTGTTCGAGCGGCTGTGAGAAACTTATCCTCAACTTCTTTAGAACAGAGAAGATAATCGGGCGAAATACAGGTTTGACCCGCATTCATGGTTTTCCCCCAAATAATCCGCCGTGTAGCTGTCAAAATATCCACAGATTCGTCCAAATAAACCGGGCTTTTGCCCCCCAGTTCAAGTGTGGTGGGGGTTAGGTGTTTGGCAGCTGCTTGATGGATGATTTTGCCGACGTTTGTAGACCCCGTGAAAAAAATATAGTCAAATTTGTATTTGAGGATTTCTGTTGTTGTCTCAATACCGCCCAACACCACTTGATAGCAATCCTTGTCTAAGTACCTGGGGAGGAATTTTGCGATGACTTTTGCCGATTCGGGGGCTAATTCAGAGGGTTTGAGGATGGCGCAGTTGCCGCCAGCGATAGCACCTAACACGTTTTTTGATAAGAAAAGTTTAAGTCTGTGGGATGGTACGAACCTATCAAGGGTCCTAAAAGGAGCATGAAGGGGTAGTTCCACGCACTCAAAATAAGGACCACTCCGTAGGGATCATGATAGATGTAGACTCCGTCGAGGAGGTTCAAAAGACTCCGTTCTGGGGCCACAGGTTTGGCCCATTCGGACAACTCAAAAAGTGTGTGTCTGAGGTCATGCTTGACCAAGTCTATCTCTCCCATGAAGACTTCCTGTCGGTGCTTCCGCAAGTCTTTATAAACCGCATCGCAGATTTCGTCTTCACACTCTTCAAGGAACTTTTCCAAAGCTTTCAGCTGTTGTTTGCGGAAATTGATCGGTTTGGATTTGCCACAACTGAAAGCCGTTTTCGCCGTATTGAAAACTTCCTCGAATGGTTTTTCGTTTTGTTTGGTGTCTTCTTCGATATCGACCACCACCGGATTGTAATATCCATTGAGTGGCTGTTTCGCTGGTAAGATAAGTTCACTTTCCACACGGGTCATTTCGCGAACTGGTTACCACGATCACTGAATGTGTTCTGGTTTCCTTAGTGCTAAGACAGGTATTTTAAAATTTCAACGCGCATGGACAAGACCCTTTCGGATTTCCTTGTTTCGTAATTGCAACGTTATTAAACGCTTACGAATAATTGATGATATTTCTGTTTCATTTTTAAATTGTGCCATCAGGTTCGAGATGGAAACGTACCAAGGAAAATGACCGGTTATTACAGTATAAAATGATTAGAAGGTGAATTTTATGTAATACACACACCTTTTAATCAAAACAGTTAGGAAACAATTTTCTCTCAATTCCGCATACAAAACTTGTTACGTCACAGCTTCTCCGAGGATGTGAATAATGAAAGTGAGCACAATTGAATTATTCGGGCAGGATTCAAGTTCAAGGTGAGAGAAATAAAACACCGGTATGCAAATAAGGGGATTCTTCTTTGTCAGCAATAACAACCGTGTTAAAAATTTATTAAACTTTAAACTGATCGATTGCGTTATAATAGATGTGCGATTAAAAACTGAATTATTGAAATCCGTCCAGTTTGACGTCATTGGAATTACATAAGAAAAAAATTCTTCATTCACATTGAGCAATTTTATCTGCGGTCATTAGACTCGTGTGTGTGTTTGAACACATTCTTTATTTGTACATAATACATAATTATCAGTTGAGAAAAAAATGAAGGATTTTGACCTTTCTAGTTGTTGAACTTGGTGATGAATGAATTTTTACACACGATCCTATTTTTTTTATAATTAATTGCCGGGTCAATTATTGAGTTTTCCGAGGTTTCTAAATTACGTTGCTTATCAAATTAAACCTCTTAAAATTTCGAAACAACTCCTTGATTTGATGGTAATTGAAATATAATAATTTTGTCCTTGTTGCAACTATTTTTTATTCTGCGAATTGCATAAATTTATTTAAGTCGATAAATAATGCAAAACAGTCTTCTTACAATGTGAGAAAATGCAGCCCATTGTATAGTAGTATTTTATTCGGAGGAAAAATGTTCGATATTAGTTCAGTATTGATTGCACCACAATTTTAATAGTAAAATACAAATATTATTTTTAGGACACTGTATTGCTAACTGGCGTTTATATAGTTAAAAACGAGTCTGGTGGATAAAATTTACCGGCCTGGTCCGGTAGTAGCCTATCTACCAGCCGATAAACTGACTACTGGACTCGTATAAACGCTAGTTAAATTTTTGTTTTCATGAATTTTTGCTTAACTTGAAAGTGATCGTTGCAGTATCGTAAAAAATATTATACATAAAAAAGGCTATGATCTAAGGATCATAACTGTAGGTATACATTTTGTTCAATTTTTATCAAAAAGTTTTTTTAGATAAGTTGCCATTTTGACAAAAGAAATCGTATAACTCCAACATAAAACAAAATTTCATACTCAAATCAGATCACAAGTTTTATAGCACTTATTAAAGTGTTATTTTATTAATTATTATTATTTTCAGAAAGTAAATTAAAAAATCGCTTGGTTTTTATACTTTTTATTCATTTCTATAAAGTAGTATTCTTTTAGTGTGCTGAAACCAACTATACTTGCGGAAATAAATTCCGAGTGAAAGGAAGATGAAGAGTATTACGTGAACGAAATGTGTTGAATAATAAGATTATTTGCTCTACCTACTTGAAATTAACATAGTATATTTTTGTTTTAAAATTTTACAACTGCTTCCCAAATTTGCAATATTCACCAGTACCCAATTTGAATATAAATCGGAAACATCAAAGCAATTTTGGCTTTCAGTCAATTTTGTGTTATTAGACAATATTACATTTCACATAAAACCTGTAAAAGGATACTTGACACATCTAAACACCTTTCAACGTCATTCACGATCTCTAGTTCTTTAGATGGTGTCATTTCACTTAGTGTTTCTTGGAGGAAAGGTTATAAACTCGTGTTATTCAATGCGGGATCGAATTTACGTGCGTTTTCTCGTCATAGCGACTCATAGAATTCCAGACGTTGGTATACAAAGAAAAATAATTCAATATTATACACAGCAGAACACGAAAATAGCACTCTTCCAATTTATTCATTGCGCAAATCCAGAAAATCGATGCTAAATTAGTTAGTCATGTTTCAACTCAGTCATAATCACATTTGGAAATATTCATTCACTTGTAAGACGATAAATTTAAATTTCCGTTCTTTTTGCAAGATCTTAATAAATTTTCTGGGCCACAAACATAAATTTTTTAATCGTAGACGTGATGGGAATTTACCAGCCATTCGTAGATAAAAGGGTTTGAATCATTAATAAGTGAGACTTGATAATAATTAAAGAAGACGTGTCGACTCTTGATTGTAGAGTAGATCACGAATGGTATGAATTTATTACAGTTGCGAATTATTTATGGTCAAGTACAATGCATTTCACAATAGAGTGTACACACGCGACTTTATTGTATGTATAATTAAATGAAATTAATTTTACGATTTTGGTTGTTTTTTTAATCAAAATATTTAATCTTGAATTTTTAAAACTCTAGCCATTAAAAGGAAATATGAACGTTATAAAAGTAGATCGATTCGGTGATTTACATACTTAACAGTCGCAATAAATTGTTTATTGCATGCTTAATTTATGGGAAAATGATGTCGTGATTTCTTGAGATTCTTTGTCACAAACGAGCCGCTTTAAAACACCTTTAGTGACTTAAAAATTTGCCTATTTCTAAGAAAAACAGTTGTATAAAAATAAAGTTTTTTCTTTATTTATCATACTTTCACCTTTGCTGAATCTGCAAATCACTTTTAACCCCCTTTGGGCCCGACTTCCATTTCAAAACAAGTGTCTGTCTGACAGGAAATGAACTCGCAGCCTAATGAAACATTTTCGACATCTGACCTTTTCAATCAATTTCCAATCAAATATTCACCGTAAAAAAGGCGTAAAAGCATTTTTTGAAAAGAGAATGACTTGCAGAAAGCTCCATTGAGTTGCCCTGACGTACATTAAAAATCAAAGTAAATGAAATATTTACTCCTTACCTTCAACCCCCTGGCCTCTATCACAGTCGCTGTAAGCCGACTCAAATTTTCGTTGTAGAGCAGCGACACAAGCAATTCTCCCAAATTCGACTTGATCTCTTGCGGCTCCTGTAAGTAAAAACCCGACCCTTAAAAACCACCACCGTTTCATCTTCTACACACCTTTTCCAAGTCCAATTTGAAAAGCTGCTGTTCGGTCCCGTCACCAATTTCCAAATCCTTGAGTGGAAACGTCACGTGTCCGATTTCGGATCTTCGTTTAGTCCTACTGCCGTCGATTACTGTCAGTTTTAGGGTGTGATCCGACATATCTTTCTGTGAGACCTGATATTTGTATGCAAAGTTGTTTGAGTTTCGGGAGCGATAAATACGTGACGTTGTACTTACTTGGAAGACCAAGGTTTCGTCAAAGTAGGGATTGCATGTCTTCTTCTTTTGTTTGGATTGTAAGTAACGTCTTTCGTCGGGCATTAAGTGCAAACTATAAGAGGCAAATGTCATAGGTCATTTTGTAAATATGGAACAAGTAATAGTTGGAAAACCTCTCAATTATGCAAACTTAAAGCACTGTTAATTTATACAAGACTTGAATTTTCTTGAGAGAAATAACAGTCTTTAAGGTCAATTCATAACGGAGATAAATTTGTGTCTATTATTCCACGTACGTTTTGATAACGCTTTCATAACGATTTTCTCTACTCTACAAAATTTAGCTTTCATATTAAAACCCTTTTATTCGAGGAGTCAAATGATATTAAGACAACTCCAAAAGTTAATTGTTCAGTCGAAGTCGTCTAAAGTAATTATTACATTTAGCTTTTCTCTTTGATTTACATATTTTGTGAGCAAATTGTATTGTAAGTTTCTTATAATGTTTTATTAAGGCAACAACAGCGCATATCCCCAAAAACAATACAATATTTACAAAACCTTGTTCATATGAAAATTGTTTCAACAATACATTTGAAATGCTTCTAAATCTATTAATTTATAAACTTTGTAAATCACATAAGTATTACTGTTGTTTTGAAAACCGGAAGGTTTAATTTATTTATATAGAAATTTAGGTATACTTATTATGATATAATTGTGATAACGAACACATTTCATAAAAACTCATAAACTTTTAAAGTTTAATTAAAGTAGCTCTTTGTTTTGAGTTCGGTACAAATAAAAACCAGTGAAAAAACACCAATGTAATATTTTTGGCATTTATTTAAGTTGTTTTTTTTTTTAATTTATTACACAAAAACTAAAACAGCTACTGGAAAGAAAAAAGTACAAGCTTCAAGGGTATAACAGTTTTTAATGTATAATTTTGTAAAGATTTAAATATTTTATATAGAATACTCTACTTTTTGTTTTTACACTAATAGATTGTTAAATTGTCTATTGAAAAATATACTTTTAAATGTCTTAAATCTCTTAGAAGTAAAATCAATAAATAAGGTGTTCCATTAAAATTTTTTAAGGTATTGAATATTGAATAACAAAATCAAAAAAATGAGGTGTTTTATTAAAAAAATTTAAGGTATTGAATATTGAATAACTTTAACAAACTTCATAATTTTTTATCTTTACAAACGCAACATACACAAAAATGTTATAGCCTTAAAGTTTGTGCAGAAAAAAATTTCTAGCCGTTTTACTTCTTGTGTAATAAATTTTTAGAAAGAGTATGACGACGTTACCGATTTCAATGCAAGCAAAATTGCCGCCCTAATCTGGCGTCCCGGGGCTATATCTTTAGTCCTGTGGTTAGGGTGGCCCTGAAGAAAATAAAAAAAACTTTTTCTACGATCCTAACAGAAATAAGTAAGTTTTTATACTTTAATTTCAGAAAGGAAAGTGGCTAATTACTTCCGAGGGAGGTACTTCCTTGGAAGGTAAAATTTTTACTATCATATATCAAAATTTCAAAAAAAAAAACCTCTTTTATAGAAACGGGAAAACATGCTGTTAGATTTAATGGCGATACTGGAATACTAAGAGAAATTATTAGTTTTGGTGTTTTTCTTGCTGGATTGGTCGTAGGAAAAATTATATGTATTAGACTGAAGGAAAGTGTCTTTTCCTCCCTTGATGGTTAGTGCTCTCGACAAGTCTCGGACAGTCTCCACCTGTGAGAGAAATGATACACTTTTCTTCTTTTGGAATACTATTACTTTATTGAATAGCAGAAAGGAAAACGGCAATAGTGGGAAAAAAATAAAATTTTTAATAAAGTGAAAAAAGAAATACTACATAATGCTTTTTAGTCTTTAAAAAATTTAAAGTCTGTCTTCTTTTGTAATCAATATAAAATCGCATCTTGGAATTATGGATGGTAAGTTACTGAATGATTTAACTTATTGATGAAATGAAGTCTTCAAGCTCCTAAAATTTTTAACCTTTCTTTTGGGATAAATAATCATTTCATAGGAACAATTATTATAATCATTTACAAAATTCAAACAAAAAATGATTAAATTCGGTAACAATTTTACACTCAGCTTTAATTTATTCTGTATTTTGCTGAAATAATCCGTAAAATATCTTGGAAAATATTTTTCATTTTAATTATCATGTACTTACCGCACAAAGGGATCGCAGCTATTGACCGTGCCAACCGTCCTCGACGGTAAATTCTTCGCCTTGAGCAAGGAGACCAATAACTTTTCCGTTGACGGTTCATACCTCAGCGAAAACCAAATCCTCCCAATATGTCCTTCAGGCCACTGAATCTCGTCTAAATCTAGCGTACTCTTATACAGAGCCGGCTCTATCACCCCCAAGCCGTAACAACCTAAGAAAGAAAATATGTTTATGAAAGAACTGTTTCGGGCGCAGGCAAGCGTAATTTTCAGCAAGGCTTACTGAAAGAATTCGATCTTTGATTCGAAACCGTGGGAAGCAGTAAACTTTCGGTGTCTACATCGGAATCATCCGGTTCAGTAAGGTCGCCCAGTGAGGTGCTCCTTAAAGGTGGAAGACTGAAATGGATCTCTTTCGTCCTATGTGAAAATTTATTATAACACAAACGCAAGGAAACATCAATTTCTTACAAAAACTGAGGCGCTGTTCCTTGCTGAGATGGATAAACAAGGATACTGGAAGCGGCGTGTTCCTCGTCAGCGTTTTTAGTTTTGCGACGACGAAGGAAAAATAAAATACCCACCGAAATAAATACAATCAGGACAATGCCGACAGCTACCGAGGAGTACAGGATTTCTGCAAAAAAAGAATATAAAAATATTTCAAATTTAAAAATTGATTCAAAAATATCATGCCAAGGTAATAGAAATAGAAATAGTAATAGAAAGACCTTCAATTACAAATTAGAATAATGTATTGTATTTATTTGTTTCAATCACTTGGATAATTTGCATGTACTGCAAAGGACTTAATAAAACGCCCACTTTCTCTTCCAACAAGAACAAAATTGCTCTGTTCCTGCACCCGATACAATAATTTTCACCGCAATTAATCCTCACACTATCCCCTAATTAAAATTTAATTCTGCCTTAGTGTCGAAACTCGAGTAGTCCACAATTTAACCTTGGCTTTTTATTTCGCTTGTAAATTGGATTGTTTTCTAACAGTCTCACGTGGCTTTTACCTGTAAAAATAGCCTCAGAATTGTTTTCATGCTACCAGTTGATAAATAATCTGTGCAGAAAACTCGCTTTTATTCCGAGAGAATTCTACAGCAACATGGTAATAAAACTTATCTGCCCACTCTTGCGACGTGGGATGGTTATAATTAAGGGACACAAATTGTTTGTCCCAATTTCTTTGAATTGCGAACGCAACGACCATGATTGCGTTTCATTTTTCAGGATTTATGCGATATGTTGGACCATAATACGCTCTCGTGACTAAATGGAATTAAAAGCCTCGAGATAAATTGCAAAAAAATCTGATTTGATTGCTAATGAATCAGTAAAACCTTCAATTAGAAAATGAAAATCTCCACAAAAAGGAAACGTTTTCTTTATAAAACTAACAAAATTATTGACAAGTTATATGAAATTTACTTATTACTTTGTTAAAATTGTATTTTGTTATTATTATTTGTTACTCCTAGTCTTTTACGAGTTTTTGTTTATTAGACATTTCAATTTAAATTATAGGAAATGGAAAATTGTAGTGAGTTGTGATTTTTAATTACAGCACTGGTTTGACGCTGCTTTATTTTGTTAAAAAAATAATTAAAATTTTATACACGTCAAAACAACACATCAGACACATGTTTGAACTTTGTGGAGCAACTGACTATAAGTGATCGAAACAAATTTAATTTTTTGTACTATCGGTGTCAAAAAAATGGAAACACCAACCACCAACATAAAGGATGTGTCAGAACTTGCACCCCAGAGAAAAATTTCAAGTAAGATAAGATGCCAGGAATATGGGAAAAATGTTTAAAAAATTCTATCTGTAAAAAAATGATATTTATTTTCTGACATTTGACGTTTGTTTTCTCTCTCTATTTAATGATACTGATGATCTTGTATAGATTTTTTTATAATCAATTAGTAAAGGTACAAAAATTTTGCCAATAAAAGCCACAAACAAGAAAGAGACAACAATGGTAAATGTCAAAGTAAAAGTGAAAAGCGCTTAGGCGAAAAAACAATGTTTTTACCCCTACTCTGAAAGGTAAAACTTTTACTTGTGTCAATTAGTAATAAACGCGTCATATTTCTGACGTTTGCGGATAAAACATATAGAAAAAATGCTGACTTTTACTTTTTGACATTTGACATTTTTTTATGTCTATTTAATGTTACTGATCATCTTTTATATATTTTTTCATAATTATTTAGTAAAGGTACAAAATTTTTGCCAATAAAAGCCACAAATAACGTTAAACAGAGTTACAATTTAGGATACAGCTTTTTTGTTTTCTCTTCTAAAAAAAAACAAAAAAACTTGAAAAATTATTTTTCCAACAGAAATAAATAGTCAAAGTATATAATTATATACAGGTTGTGTCAGAACTCGCACTCTAGAGAAAAATTTCAAGTAAATAAGATACCAGGAACGTGGAAAAAAATGATAAAAAATTTTATCTGTCAAAAAATTTTGCCATTTATTTTTTGACATTTGACATTTTTTTATGTCTATCTAATGATACTGATGATCTTATACAGGGTGAATATAAAGTATGGGACCAAGCGTTATATAAATAAAAGAAATATAAAAAATGTGATAGTATTTTGAGTACGAAACTTTATTTTGTTTTTGAATTATGCGATTTTTTTTGTCAAAATTGCAATTTATGTAAAAAAAATTTTTTTTTAAATTAACCATAAAGTAGATAGTTGTAATCCTTAATTACTTTTACGAGAAAAATGGTTTTATAGTGGGTTGCCATTTGAAAATTTTTTTTTTTTTGTAGAACTCAAAAACAAAAGAAAATTTCGAAAAATTTTATTCTTGATAAAACATCACATTTTTATAGCACTTTATCATTCATCAATTAGTTTTTCCAAAAAATAAATAGTTTAAACGAAAAACGTTTGGTTCCATACTTTTTATTCACCTGGTATGTGTTTTTTATAATTATTTAGTAAAGGTTCAAAAATTTTGCCAATAAAACCCACAAATAACATTACAGCTTCCTTCTTTCCTCTGCTAATAGTCTATTATAGCAAAAACACTTGGAAAATTATTTTTCCAACAGAAATAAATAGAGTCAAAGTACTCTCATAACTTCGAAATTTTTATAGATAGAATTTTTTTAACATTTTTTCCATATTCCTAGTATCTTACCATTTTTCTGACGCACCCTGTAGATCAAGTAGTATTCATTTTTTTTAAAGGTTTATTAAACTTGTGTAATCAAGTCTTTCTGGTTATGATTACATAGAGAAACGTCACCAAGTCAGTAGCGTTTCATGGGTTTTGAAGCATGTTAATTTGACGACTAGATTGGTAAAATTTATTTTCAATTTTAAATTAGGCGTACGTGTCACAATGTGTGTGAAATTGTCATAGAAAATATTGCAGATTTGTTTAATTACTAAGGTAGAACAGTTGATCTCCTCTTATTTAATAAATATTGCACGCCTATGAAACAATGACATAAAAAGACAGTTTAAAAAAACAGAAAAATTGGTGTTTACATTTTTTTGGCGTCGGTAGTACCTAAAATTGTCACTTGTGTGACACAAAGTGTGTTCAATTGGTACGATATATTACTGTTACTGTCTGTATAGTTTGTTGTGTTTGCTGTATTTCCTCGTGGTTTGTTAACATCAAATCCGACAGGTAATTAACCCAGATTATAACTAAGTTGCCCCATTTTTCGTGGCTACCAGTCCTTGAATAATTACAAGCTTCCGTCAATTCCGGGGAATTAATTACAACGTCCCTTGTCAAACCGGGCCGTCCCGGGACTTCGAAAAGCTCCTTTCGCATAAATTCGAGTCGTTATCGCGTATTTTCCCCGGCGCATCCACCATAAATATTTACCGTGTCGTTGCAATTCGCCGGGAGTTTGTTCCGACACCACGTACTCCTTGAAGGTCTCTCCTGTTGGTGACGATTGGATGTCTCCCGGTGGGGTCTCCGACGACCGCACGCTCCGCAGGATTGCCAATTTGTCAGCGTACCATTGTTGATCCTTGCGCCAAGTGCTCAGCAGTTTACGTTTCCACAATTGATTTTCCATTATAGTGCGTTGGGGCGGTCGGGGATTCACATATTTATTCTGGAACAGGAACAGGATTTGATCTAAAAATGAGGATATTTCTCTCCTATAAAGGCTTTGTTTTAACCTAAGTAATTTTTTAAAACTTTTTTGTCAACTTTATTATTTACATAAAAGCATAACTAAATACATAAAATGTCATAACGGTCTCTAAAGTGGTGAAAAAATATGAAATTAACTGGCTTGAAACTTGAAAGTATTATTATTTACAAGAGAAACTACTTCTCGTTGTGATTATATGCACAACCAACATTACTTTCGAGTAACCGGTTGCATAATTTATAACTATTAAAATAATTATTATGAAACTGGGACATATTGTGCGTAATTAGCTTCTGGTGGTAATTATCCAAGTATTAAATTTGTATTTGTTGATTCAAGTAACTAATATTCACGCAAACCCTTTCTTGATTACTGGATTTAACAAAAAGTTATCGAAAAGTTTGAGCTTTCGTCTTTCGACAAGAATTAATTTCAAGTCAATTAAGTGATTAATGAATAATTGAGTCAAACTTTATAAAACATTGAATAAGTTAAATTAGCGAGAAATTCTTAATACTTGAAAAGTAAACAAAGAAATCAGTGCATTTATCAGTTTGGAAAGCAGTGAGTTTTCTTGTTTCTGACAGGCTTATTTATTAAAATAAATTAATCACTTTTAATAGTTTTAATTGATCCCGAGTTTTTGTAACAAGTTATAGAAATCTCAGATTTGGGTAGAAATATCCAATATTTTTTCCTTTGAAATCACATTCACAGTAATTTTATTTTTTGTGCTGTATAGAAAGTGGTGATTCTGGGTACCACTAAATTTAAATTGGTTTCAAAAAATTGAAACAAATATTTTGTTGAAAATTTCAAGATCACGCTTCGTTTCATCCATTTCTCCTCTTTTTTACTCTATATTATTAAACAGTACGACGCTCTTAAGGTGTGGTTGTCGGCAAATTCTGTAATAAATTACGTAACATAACTGCACACAAGTCATAATAATTTTCAATTAGAATGCGATCGCAAAAAGTGACCAATACTTTCTCAACGCTGTTTTTATTAAAAATAATTCAATCTTCGAGTTTAAATTTAAACCTTTCTCTCCTCGCTGCAAACAAAGTCGTGAAAAATTAAACTTTTGCACTTTTGCTGGGGTATTGATTGGAGTGACGTGTAAATTTTCGTCGGTGCCTCAAAAAGGCAACAGTTTTAATTTCTTTAAAATCACGTAGGTATTGAACTTGCTTGACTTCTCAACTTTTCTCAAGTTTACTCAAAAAGGTCTTTTTAGTGCTAATGCCCAAAAAACTTGAATAAATGGAGGAATTCTGTCAAACTTTATCTATAATATTCCGTTTATCATCTTGGCACGTGCAAGAAACGTTTTGCATGTGAATAATTCGTCTGTGGTAAAAGGTAAAACGATAAGTTCTAGCACGTTTTGTGCAATTTTCTCAGAGAGAAATGAGTGCGGTTTTGTGTAATGTGTGATTATGTACTTTCATCAATCAATAGACGGCATTGAACTTGGATAAAAGCAGTTTCTCTCTCCACGTTTTGATTAAATTAGACGGATATTTTATTTTATCTAAAGCCTAATCAGTCTTCATATACCTCACCTGTCAAAAAGAGGAAACCTGGTTCAAACTTTATGGAGAGGAAATTCGCTAAATTCGGATGAGAGCATCGTGATTACCAAAAGTGACATGAAGTAACCGCATAACGGTTTAAATTTTTACTTTACCCACTTTTTCTTTCCCACAATTAATTTAAGAATTTTCAGCAAGCGTTAAAGTTTGGGAAAGCGAGGATTTGTGATTAATTTTCTGATTAGGAATTTGCGCCACTTTGAAACTTACCGTTAATAATATACTTATACTTATTCTCAGATTTCATTGATTTATGTGTGTAGAGATTTTTAGGAATTTTAATTCGACACGCGATCGTTTGACTTTCTTCTTCTTTAATTGGCCATCATTTTGCAGAATATTCTTCACAAATACCATTTATGTTTAATAAGTTCTTCAGTAAATGCCAAAATTTTCATCTTTTGTCTATTATTTAAAAGCATCAAAATAAAGTAATTTACAAAATTTACTAATCAAATAAATGAACCAATAAACTTACTTTAGTTTTATGTATCTACAATTAATTTGCTAAGTTGTTTTTTTAACGTACTTATGTTATAAAACTGCATTCTACAATAATACGTAAGTAAGTACATTTTGCATTTTTTTTGAATCATTTTGTATTTTTCCAGTGACATTTTATTTAAATTTCGTCTATCATATTATTGATATTTAAAAGAAAGTCTGAAACAGTGTTTAAATTATTTTTTTTAAGTATAGACATTTCATTAACATTATTTTTGTGTAAATTAAACCAGGAATGCCTTAGAAATCGCAGAATTGCCAACATGCGATGGTGGTGTAATGGTCAGCATAGTTGCCTTCCAAGCAGTTGATCCGGGTTCGATTCCCGGCCATCGCATACTTTTTTTTTCAATTCTCGTTTATGATTATTGATTTTGATTTCTCCATTAATGTGGTTAAGTATTTTAACCTACCTTAAGTAACTGAAAAAGTAAAAAAAAAATATTGTAATACAAGGTTTTTTTTATATTTTATTTTATTTGTATTTAATTGTACTTACTACAAATAAAATAGTTGTTGTTTTGTTGCTCAAATGCAACAGTGTTTTTAACCCCTGAAATAAATTCCAGGTTCCGGAGACAATAAACCAGATTACTGGATTTATGAGACTATATTTTATGAGATTATATTTTTTATCTACGATCATTCAATAATACGTTTATTATTTACGTAACTATAAATACATTATGGTACTCATAATTTGCACCTATCATAAGTCACAGTTTCGTCAATATTGTTGTTGGTTGTCAGTGTTACATCCGTCATCATAAGTAACAGATCTGTCATTATAACGAATATAAATTTTGTAAATGGAAGGTGTTTTATTCAAAAAGATCGTAGATAAAACGTCGTATTCTACTCGCATATAATAGCTACGTCTACGATTCGTTTTTTAGACATCACCTTCGTGAATAGCCATCATTATATGCTCGTTGAATAATATACTATTATTAAATGGTGACTTTTATTTTTTATCATTCATGTAAAATCTCATTTATTCAAAATTTATTACAAACAACCTTTGTGTTGTTTGTGATATTATTTTTTCAGAGAAACATCCAGAGAAATTCTCTTTTGTATTTTAGTGCAAGAATACGGGGAAATAAACACGGATTAAATAACAACAATATTTATTAACTATCTACAACAGTTTTGATTTTCATTAAATTAAATAGGAGCATAATAATACAATCTTTTACTTGGATCTTTTACAAAAAACGGCTTTTTTGTCGTTGTTGTTTTCTCTTCAGACCCTTCGTAGTCATAATCTACAGCCACGTCGTCTTCATTTTTATTTTCTTCACCCTCTTCCACAATTTCAGTGTCATCAATTTTAACCTCCATCAACTGATTGACTTTTTTTGGTAGTTTGGGATCAGTGTAAAAGGCTGCAGGTTTTTGAACAATATCAGTCAGTCTTCTAACATTATGTGTTTTTTTCGATTCACTTTCTTCGGTTTCTTTTCTATAGTTACCACCGTGTTTCTTTGTTTCATCGTATTTTTGAACTACTTCAACACTGTCAATTTTTCTGGGTTCTTTTGTCTGGTTTGATTTTTTTTCGTAACCGACTACACGAGACGAGTCGATTCGATCGATTGGTTCGGATTGGTGTCTTCTGCGGACGACTTTAACATTCACTGTTTCTTGTGTTTCCGTTTCCGGTAGTTCTGTTGTTGGTTTAGTGACCCTTATTCTTGTCCGTTGTCTTCTCGGAAAAGTCCTTCGTGGTTTGTCGTGTTGTACTTGAGGTGATTCTGTTACGGTACTTCTCGCAGTACTACGGACAGTAGCTTGAGTTGTAGCCCTCTGAGTAGGTCTTCTGCTTCCTCGAGTTTTAGTCCGTGTTCGGACTCTTCTAGTAGTGGTGGTACTTGAAGGTACTTCTGTTGTTGTTGTACTTGGCTCAACATCTTCGTGCTTACTCTCACTCATCACAGGATTGATTTCAGTCCCTTCGTCTGAATTTCTGTCTTCCATTATCGGTACTTCACTAGTATGTTTAACATTTTCCAGGAGTTGGTCAGAATTATACCTACTGCTCATATTATGTCGAGTTGATGGATTAGACCGTTCAATTGTCTTGTATTTAGAATAATCAATTGAAGTCCGAGGACTGTACGTTTTAACTTTAGGCAAATACTCAGTTATGTCAAAAATCTGGAAATTGGAACCACCAAGTTGACCCCCAGGTGAATTCTGAACGTTTTCTACTTGACTTTCTTGTTCTTCCTCTTCCGGTGTTTCGGTCGTAGTCATAGTCTTTGCCTTCACCTTTTTTTCATCTTCGATAGTTTTATAAGTGGAATCGGTCCTAACTTTGGCTAAAATACTTAAAAATTCGGGTGGGTCTGTCGAAATCGGTTTCCTTGTTGTGGTCGTTGTTGTTACATCTTCTGCTTCTTTTTCCGTGGTTGGAGGATCAGTAATTTCCTGATATTTTGGATCACTTTTTAGCTTTTTCACGAAATCGACATACGAAGGGCCTGTGTATTCTTCAAATTTTGGTGTGGTGATTGAATTCCGTCTTGTAGGTTTCGGAAGCGGTGCTTCTGTAACTTCAATGTATTCTTCTTCTGGTGCTTCTGTTTCGACTTTATCGTACACAATGCGTCCGGTTTTTTCATCGTAGTGATAATTTTTGGGACGATGAGGGACATAATCGTCGTCTTCTTCAACTTTGACTTCCGTATCGTCCTCAAGATCAATCGGTTTATTTCGGTTTCTTACAACTTCCGAATATGAAGGTCTTTGCGCACTCCTTTTACCCCTTCGCAGATAACTGTGCTTTCTTTTACTATGAGAACGGCGCGTTTTGAAATCAGAATATAAGTAAACTTTTTGTTTGAAAGATGGTGGTTTCATTCCAACGACATAAAAATTATTCATTTTGATTTCTTCAACTATTCTAGGAGTGAAAATCGTTTTGTAGCGACTAGGATCTGGAGGCATCAAACCTACAACTTTTTCAGTCGTATCTTCCAGTTCTTCCTCCTCTTCTTCCTCTTCAGTCGCAATTCTTGTATTTCCAGAATATGGTTCTGATGTTGTCGACGTTGTCAATTTTCTATTCACTTTCAAAAGTTCAAGGTTCTCATATTGTCCCCTTTCTCTATTTGTCAGTTCATCTTTATGTTTATACGACGAATATCTAATCTTCCCTCTTGGTGCCACAGTGGTTGAACTTAAATAAAAACCGTTTTTATCGTCAACATTGTCTAAATCATCGTTCTCAGGGAGAGGAACTTTTTGATAATTCTCAACAACATTTAATTTGACTCCAATTCGACTTGACGAAGATGCAGCAATTTGTTGCGGGTCTTTACTCGAATTTTTGATATTATTGATAACGTCGGCAAAGACATTAAGTTGTTCATCTGGTTTTATCTCATGTTTGTAATGTACTTCACTTTTGACGTTCTGTTTTGGTACTGAAGTACTAGTCCGGATAATGCGATTTAAATAATTGTAGGAATGAGTCGGAATGTATTTATTGATATCGAAAATGTGGTGATAAGGCCTTTTGCGTCTTTGTAGAGATGGTGGTTTCGCTTTTAAACGCCTTCTCCTATTCCTCAAGGCTTGACTCTCTGGAGCTGTTTCTTCACTAGTGTTAATAGTTGTGTCCGTAATTCCGGTCACTTCCTCTATACTTTTACTCTGACGATGATTTGGTGGAAATACTGTTGAAGTAACATCCGTATCCATTTTTTCCTGATAAGGCAAATGGTCTAACAGTTCGATTTGATGATAAATATGTTTCGGTTTCAAATCGATTGTATATTTAGGAGTTGTAATAATCGAAATTGTTGCTGCTTCAGTCTGGTTTTCCACAATGTCGGGTTTCGGGGTCACAATTTCCAATTTCAGAACTTTTTGAACTTCTGTTGTTACTTCCACCTTCGGCTTTTGAAACTGTCCGATGACATCACTCAGAATATTAACTCCTAAATGATTGTCATCTTTTTGCTTCAATTCTTTGCGAACTGAAATTTTTGACGAATAGCTCCTTTTTTCTTCAAACGGAATTTCGTTGGGTTTCACATCAATACTTGTCGCTTTGCTGAACACGTTAAAAAGTGGAATTACAGGTCCAATATCTTTTTCTTTAAAAAACGGACTATCTAGAGGATTTTCACCGAAATATTTCACTTTGAAACAGTCGATTTTATCCCCGAGATTTCTCAGTCGTGGTGTTTGAGGCAAGGCTTGCACGTCTGATGCTTCTTCAGCATTTTCAGGATCATCGCTGACATTTTTTACCCTAGCAGGAATTGGATCTACATTACTTTGGACTTCCTCACATTCAATCTTATCAGCTTGGTTGTAAAATGCAAAATCGTCTTCAGTTTTCTTCGGTATGTTATCAAGATCTTCAGCGTAACGCAGTGGAGAGTAGGGGTTTATTCTTTTATCGTTATAATAAGGGTATTTCGGTTTTTCCTTAATTTTTGGGGATTTTGGTATATCGTGTTTGATTTTATCGATAAAGTCGGTGTCGATCTCAATTTTTGGATATTCATTAGCGTAGCGTTTGAATCTTCTTCGGAAATGTTTCCTCATCACACTTTCCATAGACATCATTTCAGGAATTTGTGTCGTATCATTAATTTTATCATATTTGTACATCTTGGGCACAATTTTAACATATTTATGAGTTGTGGTTCCATTTTCAGGACTTGCCAAAACTTTAATCTCACTCAAAATTTCCAATTCGGTCTTGTCTCCATCTTGGTCTTTCAGCGACGCCGTTTGGATTTCTTCAGTCTTCAAAAAGTTATCTTTCTTTATTTTGATAGGTTTATTGACAGTTTTATGTTGCGAACCTGCAGTTTGACTGTCATCTTCGGATTTCTCCTCTTCTTCTTTTTTCTTCCGGCGTTGTTTTTCTTTTTCTATTTCTTTATCAAACTCGGCAAAACCTTCATCTTGCTCAGCCGTTTTCTCATGACCGGCGTGATCATAAGCAATATCTTCATACCCTTCTTCAGTATAAACAGTCTGAATTTTTGAATCTTTAATGACTTCTCGCAACCTAGGATCTTCGACAAGTCTTGGAAGATGTTCTTCGGATTCACTTCGTCTTACTTGTGTATAAAGTTTTATTGGAACAAATCCTTGCTCTTGTTCTTCTTCATCATCACCTTCCGTATCTTCTTCTTCTTCTTCTTCCTCAACTTCCTGCTTTGGTCGCCTGTATTCCCCCAATTTGTGTTTCTGTGGGAATTGGTCAATATTGTCCCTAAATTGTTCTTTTTGCCTATCAAATAGTTTCTTATTTTGCTCGAAAATTTCATAACCGTCTGGTCTGACATCTTCAGAGTCATCTTCAAGTTTTTTGAATTTGTGATTGCTGATAAACGGTCGGTGTTTTATCCCTTTTTTGGCCCATTGCCCTTCTCCTGGATAAATCGGTCGTGTTGGTACGTCTGGTACCGCTTCATATTCATTTTTTGGTGTTTCCTTGTGTATATGTCGCTCTTTTACTGTCTCTGTGTCATAACTAGGTTCATGTGTTTTATCGTCTCGATAATTCTTATAAAGTGGTGATTTTTTCTTATATTCATTTTTTCGTATAAAAGGTTCTTTGAAGTTTTTCAAATCTTGTTGAAACATATAAGCTGGGAAAACTGGTGTCCAGTCATTGGTCGTGGCGCTGGCCTTGAATTCTGTCTTCGGTCCGCTCCTTTTGAGGTTAGGATGTCGTTGTATCCGAGGTTGATATTTCTGCCTACTGTTGATTTTATTATGTTGTATTTGAATAACATGTGGTCTTGTTCGATAACCAATTTCACTTCCAACACTCGGTCGAACTGTCGTCCTGAATTTATGCACGTGCTGTAGATTTTGTTTCTTAGGCCACGATGGCGGAACTCGGATGGCTGATGTTACAGTAAACACACCGATTATTATCACGGTAATTAACTTCATTTTAGAAAGCGTCACGTTAATTTCAAGTTCATTATTAACCGGGACACAAGTTCACTGTATTCGCACCCTAGGAATCCAGCATGGCGGCGGGCACCCTAATGGCGGATCTGGAACGATTCGGTTGTAGTTTGAGGCGAAAGTTTTCGAAGGAAATTATTCGGATGGTGATTTGAGAAAATTTTACGGTCAATTTGTATAATTTATTATTCATGCGAGAAGTTGGTAATATAATATGCTTTTTAGTTTCGTAATTGATTCGATTCGAAGTGACTTGAATGTTTAAGTGCTTTTTAAATGATTTAATTAGTCACAGGAATGAGTTTTGACCGGTCAGTATATCGTGTTTTTAATTAAGTTGCGGTAAAACAATTTAACGCATAACGCGCTCTTGTGCAGCAGCCCATTACTAAAAATAACCCAGTTAAACGAAATCATTAATAACCACTGCAATTGACCGCAAAATTTGCAATAAACGAATAAGAATAATTACAATTAGTTTAGAATTTTGTAATAATTTCCATAAATTGGTTTGAAACAAAAATGAAGATGCTCGGTTCACCGGAAGACAAATTGCGTATTTTTTATCCGAATAATTTCCTGATGTTTCATCGACCACCCACCTCACTACTGATTGCATCAATCTTCGGAGCACTTCCAAAACGTTGCAAACTATCACTTTCACGTCGTGTCACATAATAAACCGGCCGCTGCGGCTAGCTATGGTGAGAATGAGAAGTTTATTCTAAAGTAGTGGTTTATGTAGGTTCACGGTCTACTTGGAGGAAATGTAAAGTCGACAAAAAGCCTTTAAGCGAGTTTAGTTTATGTGGAACGGTAGCTCAGTGAGGTGAAAGTGACTCTGTAATAATAATTTATCACTAATGATTCGTCCCGATCAGCAGGAGATGGGCCTAATGAACACAATCTCGTCGCTTTTTTTCATTAAGAACTATCATTGTCGTATTAGAAATGTATTTTGTTGGAGTCGTTGACAACGTAGCAATTGGGTGCTACTTTTGCTTTCTATTCAGTCACGCTACATTAGATTATGGATTGTTTCCTGTTAAATAAAAAGTGGTGATGCAGGACTGGGTGCTCTCGAACAAGGGAACAATGCAATAAAGACGAATGAAAACACCTGAGAGCAACGTGATTTTGATCGAAAAATATTTTATTCTGGGGACTTGACTGGTCCTTTGACATTTAGATTGTTTGGATGCGACGAAATGTGACAAACGCAACGTTTTTCTGGATTAGTGGGCGATTATCCAGGAGGATGGTTTCAAAATAAGTCGTTCATTCGTTAAACTTGAATTTGTATCCAGCTTTTAATTTCTGACTTTAGTTAATTTCAATAAAAGTCAAACGAAGCTTTTGTCTTAATTTTTTACACAATGACAAACTAAGATTCTGAGTTTGTTTTTCCCCTTGCTTTCACAATAAATTAACATTTTTTATAAAATCTAAAACCTCTGGAGATAAGTACCTACTCTTGTTTTTCCCTCCAGAATCGTTGTTTTGATACACTTCAAAAATATATTTTTTCTTTAATGAAGGAAATACATATTTTGAAGTTGCATACTTAAATGAGTTGCCAAAATTTAGTTTGTTAAACAAAACTGTTGGCGTTCTTTATAAAGCCTCTTCGTAAAAACGATTTTTTCCTGATTTTGATCAGCATGTAAGATTTGATTATATCGTGTGACACATCGTTGTAATCAGGAAAAAAAAACTTTACAAAAATGTAAAACTCCATTATGGCACCCATAAGAAAATCCAAAGTTGAATGTTGTAATCTGCATTTTACATGTCCGAATAGGGAATCTCCGAAACTAAGAGGTTTAGTCAAAAACGAGTAATACATTCTGGGGCTCATTTTTTGAGGAAATAATATTGGTTAAAACCGCATCCCGCTATCGTCTTTTGTTATCGACTTATAGACAAAAATTGACATTTTATTGAAATCTAAAAAAATTCATATCTTCGCTATTATAGAAGACACAGATTTGAAATAAAAACATTATACAGGCATTTTTTTACGTAGAATTTAATAATGTAGTTAACAATTTTTTTCAGTTGTTTGTTTAGCCATAATAAAATAAACTTCTATTTTTTTATATGGGAATCATAGATGGCTATGTCATTTTTAAAAAGCTTGTTTTTTTCTTATCTAAAAAATATATATTTGTAATAAATTATTATAATACATTTTTAGCAAAAAATTATCTTTGATTTTTGTTCACAGTTGGCCATGGAAAAATGTTGCATCTTCAACTATAAGGATTTAAACTATATTATTCAACCAGTGTCACTACTGAAGGAGTTTTCTAAGTACTAAGTAATGAAAAAAATGCAAAATAAATCGTAAATCAACTTATTGGCCACTAATAATATTTCTTTGTTTTTAAACAAGCTAACATTACCATTGTACTTTCTAGTGATGTAAAAAAAGCCGCTTTAATTCTTCAATAAAATATATTTTATATCACAAAAATGACGATATGGTTATTCAAATAGTCAAATTCCGTCTATGTGGAACGTTATCCTATACTTCCATTAGATCATCAAAAAAATGTTTTTTCTAATTGTGTTGACTGTTGGCACATTTGTTTTTCCTATTTTTGGATTTTTTAAAAGTATGTAATAATTGTGTTCTGAGGCATATTTGTTCAATACTTCTACGGTATCGTATTTTTTAAATTTTTATAATTTTATCTATTTTTTTCATCTATTTTACAGTTCACAAAATTCTTATTGATTATTATTTACACATTTGGAGTGAAATAGTTTTTCCATGGCCAACTATTATCAAACAAAATATGTATTTTATTTTCAAAGTATAATTATAAAACATATTCTGTTACAAATATATATTTTTTAGATTAGAAAAAATTAAGTTTTTCAAAATATTCATAGCCGCCTATGATTTCCATTTAAAAAAAATACAAGTTTATTTTATTACGGCTAAACCAATAACTCAAAAAAATGTTAACTACATTATTAAATTCCTCGTAAAAAAGTGCCTGTATAATGTCTTTATTTCAAATCCGTAACGAAGATATGATTGTTTTTAGATTTCGCCAAAATGTCAACTTTTGTATGTAAGTCGAAAACAAAAGACGATAGCGGGATGTGGTTTTAACCAATATTATTTTCTCAAAAATGAGCCCTAGAATGTATCACTCGTTTTTAGCTAAACATCTTAGTTTCGGAGATTCCCTAGATTCCCTATATTCTAGAACCGCCTGGGAAAATACCATGACAGATTTAGATTCCTTGTAAAAAAGCTTCAAGAACGTCCAAACCAAAAGGTTTTCGCTTGATAAAATACAATTTTTTTCCAGTAATTCAAAAACTAGAATTGACATCAAATTTTCTTTCAGATAATTGTTCAACATTAAATGCACAACTTTGCCTTAATTTAACCGACCTTTTATCTCTTATAATATTTGAGGTCCTCATGGTGGAGCTCGAAAAACGGGCACCCCTGTATATACATAATTTTCCGTCTACATAGATATTTCGTCTTTTTTAAGTTAGAATTTAGAATAGATTTGCTGGTCTTTAGTAAAAATTTGTGAATGTCAATAGGTAGTCTCCAAACATGAATTTCCTAGAGTAGGTGTATTAACAAATACTTGCGGTTTGCGGTGTTCCACAAGCTTTTACATCCGGTATATAATTTTAAATGTAATTTTTTTAGCAATAAATGTCACTACAAGTCGATCAGATACCCGTGTTTATATCTCCAGTAGTTAAATCTTGGCTCGGAAATGCCTCATAATTTTCTACTAGCAATTGGACTATATAAGAACAAGTCAATAAAACTTACAATTCGCATAACAGAATCGGATATCTTTGTATGTTACCAGTGAAGGACGCATATACGTTTCTTTTATGCACTTAATAAATACTTGAGTAATTACAAAATTGTCCCGTTTACGACGTAGCGAGTAAGATTTGTTTAATTTCTTAAACTACTTACAAGTTGCGACTTTCAATGCCAACACTCTAACTTCTCTCCTGTTCTAAAATTCTCATTTACTTATCAAAGAAACGTTAGAAACCCAGAATATTAAGTAGAGGGAATAATTAGAAACGACTCAAGACCAGTATCAGCAATCTCATTTTCTTTGGACATTTAAACTATTCATGCGCCATAATTGCATGCATAGAAATGTAAATTGCAATCCATATTTCGCGCCATATGTTAATATTTATTGACAAACGCCGAAAGATAACGGAAGTCCGGCGTAATGCAATTTTGGTCTAGGATTAGTTTGCATTTGGCTACCGTTACATGGACGAGATATGTAGTGACACATTTATTAAACAACACGAAAAAAGCAGATGTGCTGTGTACGACTTGGATAATTGCCATTGTGCGGACGACTGCTTAACACACATTTAATTTAAAGCCAGGTTTATGTGATAAGATCTGATGTTTTGTTTACATTTTTTATATGAGGCTTGAATTTTTAGACACGCTGTATGACACTAATTGAAAAAAGAAAGTTCTTGTTATAGTTTTCTAATAAACTTTTAGTCTTCAATATAAACTCAAGACTGCTTATAATACATCCTTTTACGATCAAAAAAACTTTCATTTCTCTTTAATGGGATGAGCGATTATATGGTCTATGGCCTCCACGTTGTGTGACCTTTGACATATATCAAAGTATCGAAGACCACTAAAACTTAATTACGTGTCATATTTTATCATAATTAAATAGAAGTTGTGGTGTGCGCTGTTCCCATAGTTTAAAATTACGGAAATAATTTGATTATTTTTAGAACAAGAAAAATCGACGACTAAACTTTACTTAACACATTTTTCTTTTTATTGTATTAGAAGGGGACAGAAAGACGTCACAAACGGTCTCCAAGTTCCTGTGACATGACTAAATTAATTTTTAAGAGTTCTAAAAGGAACGAAATTGTAGAAATAACAGAAGGGCGCTAAGAGTGTTTTTACGACCGATTTTGACGTAATACGTCCGACTTTTTTCTCCAACACGATTTTTTAGCAAAACACTACAATTTTGCTACTTTTGCAATATTTAATTTATTAATAAAAAACTTATTCAATTTATTGAAAATGTAACTGAAAGAGAATATCTAAAAAATGTCTCAAACAAGGTTTTTATATTTAAATTTTAATTTTGTTACGGAAAATCCAAAATTAGCGAATCAAAAATTAACCGGTTCCATGGTGTAATGGTTAGCACTCTGGACTTTGAATCCAGCGATCCGAGTTCAAATCTCGGTGGAACCTAAGTTTTTTTTTCGAATACTATTTTAAAAGAATGCTGCACTTACTAAAACTTTTTAGTCTTATTTTCTTCGATATAATTTCAACTAAGAGTTCAATTTCGCGGTTTCATGAGACCTAGTATGTTGTGAGAAAAACATTGGTGAATAATATGAGTATTATTTTTGCTATTAATTAATTTGATTGGACCAAATGATTGTCAAATACATGTATTTGGGCTCCAATTAAACCATAAAAATGATTGTACTTAAAAATCGAAGTAGGCCACATCTGCTTTCCTCGTAATTTTTAATAATTGTAGTGACTTGAGATTAATTTTTATAACATTTCGTTTCATTGAATTTAATAATCATCAATTTTACGATGAAATATTTTCACTTTAAAATGTCAACTACATTATTAAATTCCTCGTTAAAAAGTGCCTGTATAATGTCTTTATTTCAAATCCGTAACGAAGATATGATTGTTTTTAGATTTCGCCAAAATGTCAACTTTTGTATGTAAGTCGAAAACAAAAGACGATAGCGGGATGTGGTTTTAACCAATATTATTTTCTCAAAAATGAGCCCCAGAATGTATCACTGGTTTTTAGCTAAACATCTTAGTTTCGGAGATTCCCTAGATTCCCTATATTCAAGAACGCCTGGGAAAATACCATGACAGATTTAGATTCCTTGTAAAAAAGCTTCAAGAACGTCCAAACCAAAAGGTTTTCGCTTGAAAAAATACAATTTTTTTCCAGTAATTCAAAAACTAGAATTGACATCAAATTTTCTTTCAGATAATTGTTCATCATTAAATGCACAACTTTGCCTTAATTTAACCGACCTTGTATCTCTTATAATATTTGAGGTCCTCATGGTGGAGCTCGAAAAACGGGCACCCTGTATATACATAATTTTTCGTCTACATAGATATTTCGTCTTTTTTAAGTTAGAATTTAGAATAGATTTGCTGGTTGAATTTAATAATCATCAATTTTACGATGAAATATTTTCACTTTAAAATCTTTGACGTTTAATTTCTTTGCTAGAAAATTGTTTGAGTATTTCGTTCTTGAAAAATCTCAACTCAGAGTAATTTTGACCGTCTCAGATTTTTTTCAAGATGATGACTTACAACTCCAAATGTCAGTAAATTAAAACAAATATTAGAGAAACTAAATTCGAGACGAATATAATCAATCTTTGTCAAAATCTGGAAACACCACCTACGAGAACGTTCAATATTTCAAAGACGTAACGTGGTTTGTTTCTGTTTACTTCTTGTTTCCATAGAACAAACACATCGGAAAATTTTGTGCTTTGCGGGATGTGCGTTGTATTATAAGGATAAGTAAATTTGTTGAAAATAGTTTTACTTATTTCTTCTGTTTAAAAGAGAGCTGCAAAAATTAAATATTTAACATTCAAATAGATCGCATGAAGCTAATAGCCCCCAGTCCTAAAGCTACTTATCGTAATTCGGAATTCTATTAAGGAAACCGCCGTTTATCGACAATAACATTAAAATGTCACTAATTATAATAGTTTATGTAGTTACGACCAAACTAAATTAAATTCTGGAATTGATACGAAGCAGAGATGGATTAACGATAGTTTGATATTCCCTAGCTCGCTAGAAACTTTAATTTCCAATTTTGTCACTTTAATCTGATTCAGTGAAAAGTGAAATCTGGTTTTATCGAGAAAGGTTTATGGACAATCTGCTGACGAACTAGTTTTCATAGACTGACTTAATTAAGTGGATTCTAATTCAAGTGGTAAATCCGTAGAAAGAGGGTTTTATGCACGATTTAAAGCGTGTGCGAGGCGAAATTGTCTCGAATTAAGGTAAATGGGTTAGTTTGAGTAAATTTAAATTGTAGAATTGTGACAATGACTATTAACTAAAAGGATAAAACAAAGTGAAAGAAAATGGGAAACGGAATTGAACGATAAAAGCTTTAACTATAATTGAATGAAATAAAAGAATAAAATAAAAATTAAAGCGGGAATTAAATCCGTATAGGTTTCCACAAAATAAAACTCAATCGCATCAGACATCAAAAGAAATGTCGCTGGAAATACAAATATCACGCAAGCATTTCCTTCGTAAAATGTACTTGAAAGGATGCTCGAGAAATGGAAAAATAACCAACGAGTAGAAAATAAAATTGACATTCATATTTTATTTTAAAGCGCTAATTGTTACACTCCTTAAAGTCACAAACCGTTTTTAAAATCGTACGCCTTTATCACTGAAAGCGCAAAACTTTACGCAAAGTTATGTAACCACTTGACTTTATAAAGAGTGGAAAAGTTACAATTAAAATTTTGGGAGAATTAAAACTCGAGCTTAAACTAAATATTTTCACTTTTCGTGAAACATTAATTCAAACAAAATTCGGGATCTGATTATAATGAATCAAAAATGAGATTAGCTTTCTCCTAATTAAAAAAACGCAACGGGCTAGTTGGAATAAAATAAATAGATTTTGATCAAATCGTTCTCAAAATTTCTTTGCTTGCCATAAAATATGCAAGTCTATAAAACCATTATTAGATTCAAGTCTGCATCGCACTATAAAATTGCATTATTTCCGCCTCTCTAAGAGACAAGTTCACGCCCCTTATTAAGTATAAAATATTTTATTTGATTTAGAAATTATAAATTATAAATTCGACGCCCTCATTCATCATCAAAAATTCTAAACTGTCACATGCAAATCTCAACGCAATTATGGAACAAGAGTTGGAGCATGTTGAATGCAAGCGCGAGATTGAGTATTATAGTTGCAAAAAATTGTGAAAACAAACTTTGTTGAATTAGTAAAATAACTCACTTAAGCGGATTGACTTTAATTAAAACAGGAAAAAATGCTCAGTTTCTTACCTTGCAAAAACTGTTTATTTTGTCGTTGATGAAGCGTAAGTTTGATCCACGGGAATTAAAGTTGTCGCGCTGGAAAATAGGGTACGACTCAACGAATACCGGAGTTGACTGAGATTTCGCCACCCACGCATTTACCGGAATCGGCCGGAGTCGAATGTCTCCGAATAAAAACGACCCTTTGCAGGGACACTTAACAAACGTTTATTTAAGGTAATTTTATGTCAATATAATACCAGGGACTTGAAGTAAACTTGACATCAATGAATTGACGGCGAACTGGATCATATAATATTAAATTTTTGAATGAGTCTTCCTCAGGCCGTATTGTTATTGTGAAGATAATTACGTGCTGAGGTCTAGAATGAATGAGAGGAAAGAAAAAAAAAAGACATTCTGAAGTTTCATTCAATGTTTCAAAAGTCAACAGAACTTTTGCATCAATATTTATGGAAGATTTTTATGTCCCGCGTATTTTACAGAAGTCAAAGCTGAATTTTAAATAGGGAATAAAACTTCAAAGGCCATAAATCTTGAATCGTTTTAAATTAATTATAAGTCTAATTAAGTCTCACTGTAATAATTCAGTTATTTATTGAAGTTGAACACTTGATTTACCGAAGAAAATGGAAAAATTGTCCCTCTGGAACACTGAATTTTTTTTCATCTAAATTAATCATTTTGTAAACGAATATGTGTCTAGGTTCGTAAAAAAACTAATCTTGAAATGAGCTTTAAATTTTCATAAGCAAAGTGCGAAAAGAAGCTTTTTTCATATTGAAAGCTTGCCGGTAACGAGATGAGTTTTAAAATAACAGTTTATCAAAAAGTGTAGTTCTCATCCTCGCAATACACCCGCGCCGGTTTCACGGGAGTTGAAAAGCTTACAGCTTTAACAGAGACTGAATTTTGCGTCGAGATTTTTAAGATCGTTAATAAAGTTAATCTTGATCTAATTAACCTTTAAGTCTCTTCTCTGTTTAACTTTTCTCCTCCAGCGAATACTCTCGCCGTAAATTGGGATAAATCCTTTTATTTGCATCGTGTTTTGATTTTTAGTAGAAAACAAAATCGTGGACTAATATTTAATATGATAATGTCCTGTCATGTATTTTGTTTGGGTAAACTTTTTCCGCCTTGATGGTCATCCATTACGACATAATCTACGCCAGAAAATCTAATAATGGACCCATAAATAATTAATTTGCTAATGCATATTGTAATTATAAGCTAAAAAAACGATGAATTATGAAGTAAATAAAAATCAGTTATTAGACATTAGAAAAGTAATAAAACTGAAGGAGCGATAATCGATAAAATAATAATTGATTTAGAAAAACTAATCAGAAGTGAAAGGATCGTTAAATTTTTGTCACAACACAAATTCGTAATAACTTGAGATTGAAATCTTTGCTAGATATTTCAGACGAAAATAAATTGCTTCAAATGTCAAATTAGACAATAAAAATGAAAATTTTGGTGTAATTACCTCCACCGTAACATTATTTTATGTGTTAAAGACTCAACCCAGTTCTCAAGTTAACTCCGAACTAAAAATTTCTTCTATAAAAATATTATTATATTCATAAATATTTGTATATTGTTGAAACTGTTAATTAAGTTTAACTAATAAAAAAACTGTTTTTCCTATTTTACCTTTTTTTAAATTTCACATTCACTTACTATTAAAGTTGCACTTGTATTCGTACATTTCAAAATATATTTTTCAAATTATTACGGATTACACGTCTATACGTGTAATAATAATGCCTATGCATTATTCTCAAGCATTTTTTTTAAATCATTTGTCTTCAGAAAATAATAATTAATAAAAATGAAAGTGTTATAAAAAATGTGATCGTGTTTTGAGAATGACATTTTGTTTTGTTTTTGAATTACGTATTTTTTTTAAATGGCAACTTTTATGAAAATGTTTTGTTAAAAGTTGTATAAAATGTAGGCAGTTGTAATTCTTAGATCATAGCCTTTATAGAAAAATGTTTTATAGTGGGTTGCCATTTAAAAAAATTGTAGAACTTAAAAACAAACAAAAAATTGAAAAATTATAATTTTGAGAATCGTAACATTTTTATAATACTTCATCATTCATTAGTTTTCTCAAGATAAAGAGTTTAAGTAAAAAATATTTGTTTCCATACTTTTTGTCCACTAGGATACTAGATATAGTTTATTATATGACGTGCACCATATTAAGCATGAATACGACATATTTCGTATGAATCCTCGGTAGTATAGTGGTCAGTATCCCCGCCTGTCACGCGGGAGACCGGGGTTCGATTCCCCGCCGGGGAGTTTTTTTTTCATCAACTATTATAGTCGTCACCAAGAATATTTGAGATTGACGTATGCAAAGCTTTATTGAGGATTAAGCAGCCTTGCGGTCGGCCGTAATAATTTTTCACTGCTGGTGGTACTACCCTGAAGATTTACAAAAGAGTCGTATTCAGGAATTTTCGTGGTAGGCTTTTAATTTATTACAGGCAAAGATTTGGGAATTTATATATTAATTTAATATTAAAGTGATAATGCAGATTTGTAAAGAAACAATTTCAAAAAATAGCTGAATATTAAAATTAATTTAATTTTTTTTTATTAAAGCCCAAAAACAAATTTCTGTTACGGACCATCTCTTCCTACAAACCTTTGAAACGTGCATGTCCTAAGAAGTGCATATTTGTTTATGGCATCTCTACCTCAAGCCCCATGAACCACCGTGGGGGGTAATCGTCTTATTCTATAATGAGTCTCAAATATTGTTGGTAACAACTATAATTCCAAAACTTCTATAACGCCCAACGTGTCAAGTGGATTCGGGGTCGAAATAAAGCAACCCAATAAATTAAACTTTCATTTTATTATAAAAGTAACAGGTATTCAATAAAAACATCTAACAAATTACTTACACACTTCAACATTTATCTATATAATAGATAATTAGAATAAAAAAGAAAAGCTTAATTACATTTCAAGTTACATATTAGGACTAACTGATAAAAAACTTGATAAATGGCACTCCATGATAATTACACAGCTTTCACATTACTTTGGCGTCCTTTGGAATCGTGCGTGAAATGTATATTTGTATGAAATTATTCAATCTCCGAAGGAGTGCGTATTCTTTAACCTAGTAACAGTCCATATTATTAACGTCGTTTTCATAAGTCTTCAACATATCATCCAAAAGCGATCCTAGATCTTCAATTCCATTCAACCAGTTCTTCTTCTCGCTAATTATCGTGTTAAGATCTTGCTGCGTGAACTGAAGAAACTCATTCGGGGTCACTACTCTTCTGACTTGAATGTCATAATTGCTAACCGAACTGTACTCACTCGGCGCATAGACATTCCTCAAAAGACAAACATCTTTCGAGTTGACAATCTGATCGATGATATCCTCGTTCAACTCGTGATGATTTGAAGGTGAGTCCATGGACTCATCTACGGAAATCCCCGATGAGACCGAGGCCGTCGACATGCCATTTTCGGTCGGTAAAGGCGAAGTCGGAATGCTTCCATCGCTCCTCACATTGTACTTCTTGAACAACTCCACCAAACGTTGAGTTATCTTAGCTGCAGTCTTTGACACTTCCATATCACAGTCATCCTTAATGGCCGACATGAGCACCCCCAAACACCCAATCGAACTCAACTGACTCAAAACCTTCAACAGACGTTTCCTGATCTCGGAATCGGTCAGAGTGACAATTTTGCGATGCTCCTTCGAGAAAGTCACGTTGGGGAAACTTCCATCGATCATTCCCTGATTCTGGAGATGATTCTTGATGACTTTGTCCCAAAAATCCAAAGCGCGGACTTTAACTTCCCAATGGAGATCAGTCGTAGAGGCGTAGATCATGGTCTCGTAGAGGCGATGAAGATTGTCTTTAGGAAACTGCTGGTTTTCATAGGCAACACACATGAAAGTCGCCGCTTCCACACGCACGATTCCCTCGGTTTCGTTTAAAAGGACATCTCGCATTTTTTGCTAAAATTTTGACAAGTCACAAATGAATTAAATGACTTATTAATTCGCTTACCGGCAAATCTTCTGATTTCAAAGCATTGTTCCAGATTTCTTCGACTTGAATCATTTCTTGGAGGCACTTGATTGCGGTCGCTCGGACGAAACTTTCGCTATCACACGTTGACATCTTCACAACCAAGGTCGGTAATTCGGAATCCATTAATACTTTTTGTAAGGACGGGAATTCTGAAAAAAAAACTATTTTTAATACACAGTAACTCGTAAATTGCGCAATAGATACTCATGGAAAAGTTGCAAGTATCTTTAATTAATTGTTTTTAATTGTTCATAGAAATATCAGATAAGATTATTTTCGACTTACTGCTTCGAGACATACGTCCCAACGTACAAATTACTTCTAAAGCTGCTAATTTTACGTCCAAAATATCAAGTAATTTAGAATACAGCAAAGGACCCAAGAGATTAACAGTTGAATCCTTCGTATTGTCAACCAATAGTGCCATATTTGGCGACATGTATTTTGCTATAGCAATATTCATCAATTTGAGAGTTTGCAAAACCACTTTAGTCGGCCAATGTGCCAACATTAGGAGCTCAAAACAGACCGACAAAACGTTAATAGCCTCATAACTGTCTTTCCACGTGATATCATGCTCTTCGATCAAAACTGCCAGCAGTTCCAAATTTCCGGAGAAATAATCAGGATTACTCACAAACATTTCTAACTGATCTGGAGACTTTTCAATAGCCCAGAGAAAGTCCTCCAAATTGTAATAGATACATTGAAAAGTTAAGATTGAATCTTTCCTAGTAAGGTACTTCCGAACATCTTTTATATAATCGAGACAAAGAACAGAAATCGGGAATAAATTTGGCAATTCCAATAAGTGGTCTCGCCAAAAGTAACAACTCCGAATTGTTTCTAAACCCATAACACTGATACATTTTGTCATATACGCGTCGCGGAATGTATCAGATTCATATTCTTCTTCAAGAGTCCCTGGTTGTACGCAATATTTGATAATAAGACAGTAGTGAGGTGTGACAAAAGGACAAAATAACTGGTCCCAAAATAAAAATTCTTCCTTGTTATTTGGGATTTTCCTAATGAGCACGTTCCAGTACAAATAACCGAATTTACAAAGTTGTAACACATCCTCGAAAGTCCCCTTAAAAATACCAGCCAGAAAATTTTTCTTGATATTTTCTATCGAATCAGTGATAGTGGCAGCACTGATCCCATTACACACAGCATTGACGTACAATTCGAGAAATTGTATCGTAAAACTGATCCTGACAAACTCAAAAACAAAACAATCCGATTGGGCCATTTTAACGAAATCAGAAATGCGCTCGTCTTGATGGAAGTGTTTCAGGAAGACTAGTACAACACGAAACTCCTTATTATCAACCAGAATTCCTTCAAAAAGATTTTCCAAAATATCTCCGATAAGTCTGAGGGACGGTTTAAGATCCTTGGCCACGATTTGCTCGATGCTATTTGTTAGATCGTTGGCATTTTTCACCAATTTGTAAATATTCTCAGAGAGAGGCAACATCAATCTTTTTACAATGTTATTACAAAATGTTTCATCATAATCGAAGGTTTGTTCCAAAAGCTTCGATATGAAAGCAGTACACTGTTTGAAAATTTCAACCGAAGCATCTCGCAAACACATCTGATAAACATCTTCCCAGAATGTGCAAACGATCATCCATTCGATCCCTGATCTGTGTTCAAGAAACGAAGACAATAGTTTGATGTATGATAATTTTATAGACGGTGCACAGTCGGGTTGTCTAACTTTCACAATGTTAACCAGTTTAATAAAAAAATTATTATTCAAAGCGCAAAACCGCTCTTCGTTTTTCGATAAAAGACTAGCCAGGTTTATTGTAAAAGCAGCGATGTTTGGTGGAGGTGTCACTCTTGTGGCACTCCACATGCTGACGACTCGGTTTATCCATTCTGTGATTATCGGAAGTGTTACCGAGGATGATTCCTCTACGAAAAAAAAAAAGGTTAGAGTTACGCTAAACGTGAATTTTGAACACAAACCTCGCTTCTCATGTTCTGATAAGAAATTCAAACATTTATCCAAGACTAGACGATTCTGGCACTTGACTTCGATCAATTTTTCTAATAACTGTTTTATTTTAAACTGGTATTGTTCGATATTAGGAGGCATATTATCACATTTGAAGTAGACGGACGAAAATACGTTACTAAGAGTTGATTATAGACTATCAACGCGTTATCTGAAGGATAAGGTTATCAGAGCTTTGACTAAGTGACATGAACGCAAAACTATAACAAAATGAACAACAAACTTACTGTTCCGAGACATTTGAGCCATGGTGAAAACAACATCCAGTGAAGCATTTTTGACTTGGTTTACATCGAGTAATTTAGCCGATAATAATGGACCTAGCATTTTTAAAGTGGAGTCTGAAGTTATATCAACTAGGAGAGACATATTCGGCGACATATAATTTCTAACAGCCACGTTAATTAATCTTAAAGCTTGAACAACCTCATCTGTAGGCCATCTGTGGAGCATCAAAAAATCAAAAGCAACGGCAAGCACATTGACAGCTTCGAAATTGTCTTTCCACGTAATTTCAAATTTTTCGATCAATTCAGAAAGGAGAGCAAAAATTTCTATAAAATATGTTTCACAGCGGAGAATTTCAAGTTTTTCGGGAATTTCCTTGATTGTTGAAACGATGTCTTTCCAAATATAAATAAGCATTCTAAAAACAACCATTGCGCTCACTTTTGATAACATATTCAACATTTTTCTTACACGTATGAGAGAAAAAATACAAATTTGGGTCAAAGACGGACTTACAATGAGGATATTACGCCATGTGTAACCAATCCGAAGAAAACTAGGATCCATACTTCGCATAAAAGAATAAAGGTTTAAGTCTCGACAATCGTCGATAAAGTTCTTAATTTCCCATTCACCCACAGTCAAAAAATTTTTAAGAAGAAGGCAACCTTGTGGAAATAACAGTAAACATAAATCATGGTTGGAAAAAGAAAACTGATTCTTATTTGCATTGTCAAAGCCGATTTTAGAATTTATTAGTGACCAATAAGGATAACCGAAGCTACACAATTCGATGACATCTCTGTAACTCCTTCCTTTAAAACAATACTGAGTAAAGTTTTTCCGTATGGTGGAAATTGTGTATTTGGCAACATCAAAACTTATGTTATTAGTCAGTACTTTGAGATGCAATTCAAGAAATTGGACCACAAACATAATTTTTACCAAATGAATGCTACGACAATAAGCTTGAGACAACAACACCAAATCATCGATTATTTCCTCCAGGCGAAGATTATCCAAGAATAAAAACGCAATTCGGAAGTCTTTATCGTCGGTCAAAACACGTACAAAAACAAATTCCAAAATACCGGCAATCAGCTTTAGTGAAGGTTCGAGAATATGTGTTGAAGATTCGCTGGGATTTTTGAGACACTTGTAGATATTTACCCCCAAGGTCGATATGACTCGTTTCACAATATTATTACAAAAAACTTCATCACGATTTATCGCTTTTTCCAAAATAATTGACATAAATTCAATGCTCTTCTCACAAACTTCAGATTTATCAGATAAACTCATTTTGAAGACATCTTCCCAGAAAGTGCAAACAGTCATCCATTCGACCCCGGATTTGTGTTCAAAAAACGAAGACAATAATTGAATGTAAGCTAGTTTAACAGATGGCTCCACATCGAGGTGTCTCACTTTTAAAATATTAATCAGCGTGATGTAGAAATTACTGTTGTTCAAATCACAAAACACTTTTTCTTTTTTTGACAATAAAGTCGCCAAATTCAAAGTGAACAAAGCAACGCTGGTTTCCGGTTTCACATTTTTGCTATTCCACGTGATTACGGTCTGTTTTAACCACTGAGTAAAAAGTGGAAGCGTTATTAGTGTTGATTCTAATTCTATAAACAAATCACGGTTAGTTGAAATGTCCGAAAATTATTGAAACACAAACTTCTTTGTTCTAAATACCAGAAATGGTCTAGAAGCTTTGAAGCGTCTAAATGACGATCACACTTTTCCTGAATTTTTTCCAACAATTTTTTCAGTTTCAACTCATATTGCACGACTTTAGAAGTCATCTTGTGGCGTGCGTCACGACCGATGGGAAAAACATTACTGACATTTACGCTTGTTATCACTTAGATTTGATAAAGCTATAAATAAGCCTAACAACGGCGCAATCTTAAACTTTGGCGCTAGATACGGAAATCTACTAATTACTATCACTCCCTGTGTGGGCTATTTTGACATCCTTTATTCTAAGTAATTCCGATGATAGCAATGGCCCGTAGCGATCTACAGTCGCATCTGAACTTATATCTGTTATGTGAATAAAAGTGTACTAAGTCACAAAACCACAAATACGAGATAAATCGAATTAAGAATTTTAATAGTATATTACATAACGAGCACGGAAAGTGATAAATAACGCACAAGCGGGAAAGTTGCGCACGAGGCGTCAGCCGAGTGCAGGCAATACCGCGAGTGCGTTAGACACTTTCCTGCAAGTTTTGTACACTATTTTTACTACGACCTACGACCATAAATATTTTTTTTCTTACGAACATATTTTTTTCATAACGATTTATTTATTATAATGGATACAAAAATACGTTGAATAACGATTTATTTATTTTTTATAATGGATACAAAAAAAATACGTTGAATGAAAAAATCTAGTTTCGTATATGGTCGTAGGAAAAAACCATTACGTTAAGTTAGAGTTAATATCATTTAAAAATGCGTATCTCCGTAACTATCAAAGATAGAATTTAATACTGTTTTGTACCAGAAGGCTGGGAAGATATTGTACATGAATCTGTGGAAAACCAAATTTCAAAAAATTTTGAGTTAGTACAGTTTTATTCTGGGGTACAGATATCGACTAATAACATTTTCTAGGACGAATTATTTTTGATAGCAACGTCAGTTAATTAATTTAAAACTTTGAACAACATCGTTTCTGACCCATTTGTACAACATCAAAAAATCAAATACGAGAGAAATCCGACTTCGATATTATATTACCACGTTATTTGAAGCTCTAGAATCAGCAAGAAGATCCAAAATTTCGTAACGCAACGATTTCAGATTATCCAGATTTTCTTTTACAGTAGAAATGTTATATTGAAAAATATACAGGTTGTCTCAAAAGTGACAAAAGTGAAATTTGGAATATCCAGTTATTGATAAAAATGTAAATACATATTTATAATTTAATTAGTTGAAATTATTAATTAATAATTAATCTTAAAATTAATTATTAACTGTTTTAGTTTAACAGTCGGTTCTACATCTGGTTGTCTGCCTTTTAACAATTTTATCAATTTGATGGCAAAAATTTTCTGTTTCTGTCCGTGATAACAAAATTGTCAAATACAATGTATAATTTAAACAAAGCAATTTCTGTTCGATGAGTTACAGTTTTAGTGCTCCACATAAGTAGGTACTTGTTTAATCCATTGGGAAAAAAAGAGGAAGCGTTATTAAGCGTTATAAATGTTCTAGAATCAGCTTCTATAAACAAAGTCGATTACAATAAAATAAAAACACAAAGTGCTTTCTTCCAGTTGGCGAAAAAATTTGTTAATTATTCTAAAGACTCGCACTTCCCATAAAAACATGTATTTAGCACTTTTTTATATTTTTAACTAATATTGTTCAACTTTAGAAATCATTTTATTTAATGCGTCGCCGACGAATGTCAATATATTGCTGATATTTATATTATATCACAATAATAACATGATCTTAACCTACACGTATTTGTTAACTTACTGCTGCTGGATATGTGTGCCATAGTATGAATCACTTCCAAAGTGGCTGTTTTGACATCCGTTGTTGCTAGTAATTTAGCTGCTAGCAAAGGTCCTAATAAATCTAACGTCGAATCTGAGCTTATATCGACTAACAGTAACATATTTGGAGACATATAATTTCTAATAGCAACATTAATTAAATTTAAGGCTTGTACAACTTCATTTGCGGGCCATTTGCACAACATCAAAAAATCAAAAGATATAGCAATTACATTGATGACTTCGAAATTATCTTTCCACGTGATTCGAAACTTGTCAAGAAGTGTGGCAACAAGTTTGAAAGCTTCAGCAAAAAATTCGTGATTAGCCAAAATTTGAAGCTTTTGCGGACTTTCCGCTGCTGCAACAACCATATCTTTAATATGATAAATGATTTTCTTAAAAATAATCATAGCACTATCTTTGGAAAAATGTAATTCTAAATTTTTGATGTGATTGAAGGATTTCATACAAATCTCAACCAAACCTGAACTTGCTAAAAGATTGTGTTTGCAATTGAAAAAAAAACGAAAAAAATCGGGTTCAATCATTTTCAAATGTTCGTTGAAACACAATTGACGACACTCGTCTTCAATAGTTTTCATTTCTATTTCAGACCACGAAATAAAATGTTTTACAACAAGAAACATCTGAGGAAGAATTAAGGCGCCCACAAAATGATCAGAAATACAATACGAACTAGGAGAACTTTTGTCTGTTGGAAAATTTAATTCTATATATTTCCAGTATAATACACTGAACTTAAGTAATTCCATGACAACATAAAAATTTTCATTAGAAAGATGCGATAGGAAGTCTTTACGAATTTTTGAACAAAATTTTTTGACCTTGTCATAACTACAATTATTCGTTAGGAAATCTTGACGAAAGTCAAGAAATTCTATAACAAAGATTATTTTCACAAAATTGACATTGAAACGATGAGTTTCGAACATTAACAGCAAATCGTCAAAAAGCTTCTCTTGGCGAAATTCATCTAAAAAAAAATGAGCTATTCGGAAATCTTTATCCTCCACTAACGCAAGTTCAAACACAAGTTCCAAGATATTAGCAATGAGTCGTAATGAAGATTCCAGATCTGATTTAATTAAGTTAGAAAGTTTCAAGCACTGGCAAGGCGACATAATTTTCTTCACAACATTTTTACAAAATATTTCATTAGTATCTAAATTTATGTCCAAAATTTTTGACATGAACTTAGTACTCTCTTTAGACACTTGAGACTCATTTGACAAACTTAGATGATAAATATCTTCCCAAAAAGCATAGGAAAGCAAAAATTCGATACCAGATTTGTGTTCAAGAAACGAAATCAATAATTTGATGTAAGCTAATTGAACAAATGGCATCGCATTTAGTTGATTTAAAATATCAATCAATTTAGTGTAGAAATTAGCACTATTAAGCTCACAAAACTTTTCCTCATTTTTTGACAATAAACTGGTCAAATGCAAGGTAAAACTGACAATAATCGAAGGTGGAGGTGTTTTTCTGGCACTCCACGTATCAACAGCTGTGTTTAACCATTTTGTAAAAATTGGAAGAGTTATTATTGTATAATTTGCATCTAGAAATAATCCAAGGTTAGAAATTATCAAAACAAACACTTAACACAAACCCCTCTGTTCTAGCCGATAAAAATATTTTACGATTTTATCTAAAGACGCGTCTAGTCCTTTATGACACTTTGCTTCAAGAAGTTTATTCAATAAACACTTAATTTTTAACTCGTATATTTGTTGCACCATTTTTACAACACTACAGTACGCACATCGACAAGACACAGATTTTCTCGTCATTATCTCGTTTATGATAAGATTATCATACGCTAAGTAAATCAACTCACCGCCTGTTGACATGTGTGCTACCGTGTGAATCACTTCCAGTGCGGCTATTTTGACACACTTTGTTCCAAGCAATTTTGCTGATAGCAATGGTCCTAAGAGTTCTAGTGTCGAGTCCGAACTTATATCGACTAACAATAGCATATTTGGAGACAAATAATTTCTAACAGCAACATTAATTAAATTTAAGACTTGTACAACTTCATTAGCGGGCCATCTGTGCAACCTCAAAAAATCAAAAGAAATAGTAATCATATTGATGACTTCGACATTATCTTTCCACGTTAGTCGAAATTTGTCAAGAAGAGTAGTAAGAAGTTTGAAAGCTTCGACGAAATATTCTTTATTGATCAAGACCTCAAGTTTTTGCGGACATTCCGTAGCCGCAGTAACTATATCTTTGATTTGATAGATGAATTTCTTAAAAATGAACAATGCATTGTCTTTCGAAAAATGTTGCTCTATATCTTTGAGATGATCAAAAGATTTCATGGAAAGTTCAACCAAATCCGAGCTGCAATCCGAAAATTTATTTCGCAATTTGTAACCAATACGGAAAAAATCTGGTTCAATCATTCTTATATGTTCAGAGAAATACAAAAATCGACATTCATCATCATCATGTATCATTTGTAATTCAGTCCAGGACATAAAATGTTTCAAAACAAGAAACATGTGTGGAAATATTACTAGACCTATAAAAAGGTCAGGCACACAGTACTGATTTGGATTTTTCTCTATGGGAAAATTTAATTCAATACACTTCCAGTACAAGACACCGAATCTGCTTAATTCAATGAATCTATGAAAATTGTCATCAGTAAGATACGTCAGAAAGTTTTTACGAATTTTTAAATAAAACTTCCTGATTGTATCATCACCAGAATTATTTGTACGAATACTACGACGAAAGTTAAGAAATTCTATAACAAACTTGATTTTCAAGAAATTGCTACTGAAGCGATATATTTCTGATATTAAAAATAAATTGTCATAAAGCTTCTCTTGAATAAATTCTTCTAAGAAAAGATAAGCTATTCGGAAATCTTTATCTCCCAGCAATGCACGTTCAAATGAATGCTCCAAAATCTGACCAATAAGTCGCAATGAAGGTTCAAAAACCGAAATTGCTTCCTCTTCAGAAAGTTTGAGACAATGATGCCCATTTTCAACCAAAGGCGATATAATTATCTTGATGACATTATTACAAAAACTCTCATTAGTAACTAAAGTTTCTTCTAAAAATTTTGAAATAAATCTGGTACTCTCTTTGACAATTTGGGACTCATTTGACAAACTCAACTGGTAAACATCTTCCCAAAGACCACTAGAAATCAAAAACTCGACGCCGGATGTGTGTTCAAGAAACGAAGTCAATAACTTAATGTAAGTTAATTGCACAGACGGCACCGTATTAAGTTGATTCAAAATACGAATTAACTTGATAAAAAAATTGCCACTACCAAATTCACAAAACTTTTTTTCATTTTTTGTCAACAAACTGGTCAAATTCACGACAAAAATGAAAATAACCGAAGACGGAGGAGTCTCTCTGGCCCTCCAAGTATTTACGGCTGTCTTTATCCATGTTGTAAAAAGTGGCAGAGTAATTAATGTACAATCTACAAAGTATTCAAGATTAAAAATTGCTCAAAAGAAACACAAGACGAACCCCTTTTTTCAATTCGGTAGAAATACTTTAAAAGTTTATCTAAAGACTCGTCTACTCCAATATGACACTTTGCTTGAAGAAATTTATTCAATAAACACTTAAATTTCAACTG